CACGGAACTGACATGGAACACGCGACCGACTTGAAACACGCAACTGACAAGACCCACTTTCCCGCCACCGCACGCGGTTTTTATAGCTGTGCGGCCCGGGCAACATTAGCATAAATTAAATAAATAGAGGGCGTCCTAATGCCTTACCATAATTTCGCCACAATATCATACAGATAATAATATAGGACTGACAGAGTTAACTTCTTTTATAATACTAATTTGACCACTCAGAAATAGATTCACTGTGGACAAAAGAGAAAATCACGCGCAGGTTATAGATACCTTCGCCAGATTTACCGCCTTTGAGTTTTAATTTGACTGCACCTATTCAAGAAGGGCAGCGGGGATTACATTGAAGAATGGTGATAGAGTAGTTTGCCCATAAAAAGTGGAAAACGAAACTAAACGGAAAGATAAAAAGTTGTGTGCGCAAAAACGAATTTGAATGTCAGAATAGGGAAAAAGAAACCCCAAAACAAACTAAACCGTAGCATCTGTGCGAATTTGATTGAGAGGAATTTTGCTGAAATTGGCCGGGAAGGCCTAGGCCCCTATATTACGATATCAGTGTGAATCTCGTACCTGTTTTGGGTAGCCTACTCAGTATAAAACGTAACAAACACTGAGCGAACATGTATAAAGCAAACATACACAAATCCACCATTTTGGGGGCTAATAACAAATATAAGTTGCGTTCATGCAAAAACTAATATCCAGTGCATTTCCTTTCAGTTTCTCGTTTCAATTTAATCAATAATTCGTTCTCCCCGCTGAGAAAGGTCAGCTGAAAATTCCTTTAAAAAGCAACAAAAAGAAATAATTTCAAAAGTCCTATCTGACAGTTCGGATAGCATGTCTTTGACCCCCCCAAACGAATACATCTCTTTTTACCAAATGCAGGATATTTCAAATAGAGGTTGCACACCACAGTCTTGTGGAATTCTGCTCAAAACTAAAGGAAAACTTGACAAACAAGGTTCCTTTGTCTTGCTTCTAGTTGTTTATTGCATCCTTAGTAATTTACAATTTGTGGTAAGAAGTTCAACCTGGGGGAAATTTTTAAGCCATATTACACATTAAACATGTTCACGATACTGGATTACAATAAATATTGAATCAGCAAAAAATATTCCCGATATAAATGAATTATTCCAGACATGCTTAGTGCAAAAAATAAACATGAATAACAACATCTCATCTCAAAGTACTACTAACTATTTCAGAAGAGAATCCTTTCAGCCTTCATCCTTTTCTTGACAGAGTTAACTGCTTTGAATAAATATCTTCATTTCAGAAATTTGGTGGAATACAGTCAGATTCGAGAACCCATTATAGCAATCAACTCCAGACTAATCAGTAAATACAAAGTGAAGTGTCATTAAATGCTCCGTTATGTTTCTCCTCCAAAACACTCTCATATTGAAGACTGCATGAACTGCATCACTTGATCAAGAGTCTCTCAAAGTAACTAAACATGACACAAATATGGTGGGTTATTAGCAGTGAAACAAAATCCAACCAACGTACACCACCACCAAACCATACCCGTATCCAAAACTTCCACTTTTCATAAATATGAGGCAAGAGAACTATTTGGAATAAACTTGGGACCTGCGACTTCCACAATGCTGTTGGCATATCTAACCTCACGTGTTTGCCTATTGCCCTCATGAGGCAAAAGCCAGTAGCCCAGTGTGCTAACAGGCCAGGGGTCATGTCCACGGTCCAGATGCCAGCAACATTAGCAAATATTGCAAGCTTGGGTTATGGAAGTGAAGGGGTTAATGAAGGGCAGATCAAGAATGGGGGGGGGGCAAATGCTTAGGGACCAAAACTTTTTAATGTTCCTTCATGAACCTCTAATAGCCTTTAAGAGGGGTGAAGCTAAATTTGGGGGCTTTTACAGGGAAGTGAAAGAGTCCCAAAATGCCTTTATCTCATATTTCAAACCAAAGGTTTTTGCTGGGAGTGGGGCACATGGCTTAGTTGCATCCCCTTGGATCAACCAATGATGACAATGAGGATTGTCACCGCAATATCAACCTCAACAGAGGCTTTGCGTGGTAGCCATCATGCAAGGGCAGTTCTTTTGTTTCACAGGGAAACCTCCTTTGTACATACCCTATGACACAAAACAATGGCCTGCAATATGGAAGCCAAGCAAACCCTCTATAGTATGGTTGAAGGAATAACAATATCACTGGCCTGTTGTGGGGCACTGTCACAGAGCTGTATCACAGAACGTTGACAAATGCTGCAAAGGCAAATTATAACTGACTTAGTTTGGCAGCCACATTATTGCTGCTGCCACTAATTACAACTTAGATATCATTTCTCATCTCCCAAATGAAAGCTCTTCCTCCAACAGCTTCCCCTTAATTCCCCACATTCTATCCAACAAAACAACATTTAGTATGTTTGGCATACCTTTCAGACAAGACTCAGTTAAATGATGATCTCACATCACAGGTCCATATTATCGTTGCTGCCTTATCATAACTACCAGAAAAAGAGGTCTGAACAGAATTCGAAAAGTTTCGATAGACTACATCATAGAAATATAAATAGATAAAAGTACTTTCGCAAAAAACATACATTTACTATTAAAACTGTTTACATAAAAATTCTTCAGAAAGACAAGACACTGCATTCAATGTAACATTTACAAAAGAAACTACGGTTTACTTTCAATATGTAATATGTCCATTTGAAGAACTTGACATTTTTCCATAATTATGAAATTTAAAAAATAAAAATGGTATACCATGTGTCCCAAACTTAATTTTTACATTGTTTCCAAACTTGCATTTAATGTTATAAAACCATGGAAACTGACCTTAGGCAACCAGGAGAAAGTGGGATTATGATAGGTACTTGGTACCATAATTGCGCTTATTCGGCTTTGGAAATGAACTCTTCAAATATCTTTGTGAAACCTTTTACACTACTGAATATATGTACTCAAGTTAAACGTATCCTGTAACAGTATACTTTTAAGCATATGAGAAACTGCAGTTCTGTAAAATATTCACTGGATCATACTACCTGCAACAATGCTTAAATCAATCACTGCATCAGAAAGCAACAATCCTGTGCAGTTATTGAAGTGAAGTTTGCCTTCAAACTCGGAAGATAGCTGCTAAAAAATGTCAGCAGTCCTCAAAAGAACTGCAATTACACTAACAAATATCTTCCACTATTCAAAAGGGTCATCATCAAGGTCCTCATTATCTGAATCCTGGAAAATGGGATTCTGCTTGGTGATATCGGAAGGAGATTTGGTGAGGGACAGCTTGTTGCTCCTATTTTGATCTTCGGTAATGTCGTCGTGATTGCCATTCAGTGTTGCTGAGGTAGAGGTCTTTCTATTCCCACTAACACTTTGTGGCGAGGATTGGCTAGGGGGTTGGACAGCACCGACAGAGGACTCACCATCCTGCCGCATCTCTGTGGCTGCCTGCTTGCTCAGCACTGGGTTCTCAGGTATAAAGATTGGGTTCTGGTATGCCACTGCCCCTACGGAATGCTTGCGGGTAACCGAAGGCCGGCGACCTGCAGACTTCTTGCGGACACGCTTGTCTCCTTGCTCTGGGACATTCTCTTTGACAAGGCCAAGTTGCGCTTGCTCCCACTGGTCAAGGTTGCTTCCCTTGGCCTGTAAGGTGCCTCGGTCACTGAGAGGCATGGCCAGGGTCTCCATGAACTGTGCCACTGCCAGATCACCTCCCATTTGGGCTTTCTCTTGTTTCTCTTTGCCACTATTGATGTCCACCTGCTGACCTTTCACCTCATAGCCCGGGGGGAGGAGCCCCAGGGCGCTTGCGAGGAAGAGGTTGTCGGGTGGGGAGTAAGGTGGGGGCTTATCCTTAGGGATTTGCTTGGTGTCCTCAGCTTTGGCAGCAGTGGGCAAGGCTTCAGCACCCGTAGAGACAGCGGCAGGCGCTTCCGGGGTGGATGCTTTTGCAACTGCTTCAGTTGGGGTGGGCACTGAGGAAGCAACTTGTACCTTTGCCTCTTCGTTGCCATCCATAGGATAATCTCGCTCTGCGTAATCAACTGGTGGATAGTCCTGAGGTGGGTTATCTTGTGTTTGATAATCTTCTGGTATGAAATCCATGGATGGATGGTGCTGTGTCCGATGGTCTTGATCCGGTGTGACCATCACTTGCTCAGAGTCACTGCGGAATCTGTTTTGCAAATGGAGCCAAAACAAACAACTTAAATTATAAGACAATGCCAGAATAAGGTTTCCCGGTGGAATGGCATGTGTAAATCAACAAATGAGACACACTTCTACGGAGATGTTAAAAGACATTTCAAGCCTTTCTAAGCTGACTTAAACTGAGTTGCGATGGCTTGATTGCTACTCTGGAACAAACTGCCATGATTGGTGGAGGACATCACTAAAATCTACACACTATAGAGGGATTTCACGTTAGCGCTGTCTGCACATATCTGCATCGAAACCGAGGCTCTCTGTGTTGAACTTCGTCGTGCTCGACCACGGCCAGAGTCTACACAGTACATGGAGTATCCGGTTCGTAAGTGTGATGCCGCTTCATTCTACCTCCATGGTTTAAATCACGCCCACTGCACAAGATACACGACCATCACTGGTATGTTAGTTCACGGTCAATTGTCATTATTTTCTCTTTTGATTTCACGTGTCGAGTCATCCTGAAAGACTCTTCCACAAAAATCTGCAGCCTGAAAAGTCTGAATTTAACATACCTTTATGTATTTTGTGTCTTGACTCCTTACTTTCAATTTTCTGATTGTATTAAGAATTGAAGCTGACACATACAGCCTCGTTTGCAGTGCGCAGATCGACGCTGAAAGCGTTGTATTGGGATCCATCTATTTCACTGATTCCTAACATCAGCTGGTTATTGCTACTGATGTTCCTACCGTATTACTCATCGCAAAAAAATTAAAAACCTTACCTGGCCCTCCATGGAACAAAGGGATCAGAACCCTTGTAGGGCACTCTGCGATACCGACGTACCATCAAGAAGCCCATGCCAATGACGATAGCAACAAGGACTAATACAATGACAATCACAGTCCAGATAGGGAAAGTGCCATGGTCAGTGCCGTTATCATTCCCTGTTCCCAGGGGCACCACCCGTGGTGTGCATTCCTTTGTAGCAAGGTTTTCTACAGACAACAATGCATATTAACCATATAAAGAATACAAACAATATGGAACACAAAATGTTTTATTAATACGATTGACTCTCAATACAAACTCAGTGGAGCCTCGCCAAAATATTTGTTATTACAAATTTAGTTGGAAGCATAGTGTCAGCTTTCTCGTGAACTGTGCATGCATTGTGTTACAGTAAGTTCATATAAGCTGCCATAGTTGAGTACAATGGAGACAATCATGTGGGGAAAAACTACTTATGTTGTAAAGTCAAATAATAACAGAACAACAGAAAACCAAGACTGCGAAAAAAAGGAGAAAACTAGGCACCAAAACCATATTCAATCTGAATGCAGAAATAGAGCGTCATAAAGACAACTCAAGTAGTGGACAATATATCAGGGGTTATTCCATGATTTACTTTTAATCCCGTCTTACTGTAAAGGGGCGGGGCAATCAAAACACAATCCTGTTCGTTTGGGATTTTTATTCTACCACTTTCCTACAATGATCCATTGGTCTGTGTTACAGAAACACTTTCTAGACTTTAAGCCAGTGTGCCACATTATAAACTCAGCGTAACTATGCCATAGTGCATACTCTATTTGATCACATCATGCATTGGCATCATGCATAGAAAGACATGAATTCAAGCCCATAAGAATCACTTCAATAAAGGTTCATTTGAAAAGGTTGTTAACCATGTTATTCCAATTGATCGTATTAATCGGAAGTTTGTGTCACTGCGTTCATCTTCAGTGAATATTTCCCCCTAGAAACAGGCAACACTCTGTCGGGACTGATGATTTGTGTTTGCTCTAACAATGAGAGTCAACCGTGTTGTAGAACCAAAGCTAAACAAGAACATTCAACCTTAATAGCAATGTTGTAGTCGAGTTCATCGCAGGTCTCTGCAAGTCCTTGACAAGTCCATCACAAGTCATCTAGTCTAAAAGCAAGTCACAAGCTATTCCAATGAAAAGTGACAAAAGCAGTTCCTTTGTCACTGTTCACCCCGTTGCCTAAGACTTGTCGTGTGAAATGACTTGTGACAGGACTCGTAAAAACCTGTGGCACACTTTAATAAGTACCTTAAGTACTTGGCTTAAAACCCTGAAAACTCTTCCGTGGCTGGGAAATTTTCCAACTTGCAACCGCTACAAGATAAGCTTTAGTCTGTGCACTCCATGTAGTGTTCTTGAATGCTGAATGAGTTGACCTTCCACACTGGGGTTCTTGGCTTTGGTACAATAATTTATTCCTGACAATCTGTCAAGGATCCTTTAACAGTGGGCCTCACTACTGAACTACAGCGTTCCTATGCAGGAATGCTTGAAGAAGAAATGAAATGCTTGAATGAAGAAAATACTATCTTTAAGGGAAGGAGACTCCAAGGATTTGATTCTAGAGGAGGTTCTAAGAGTTGCCAAGCCACTCACAACATTCAACAACATGGACTGCGACCAGATGTTCAGGCAATGATAGTCAAACATGGATCACTTACCGGGACACACACAAGAGTACTTGTCTACATCCGGTATACAGACACCTCCATAGGTGCAGGGATTGGGATCACAGATCCTACTGTCAATGTCACAGTTCTGACCTGTAGACAACCACATTGCAACAGTTCAACACACGATAAAACTGCACTGAAGACAAAGGGTCCAGGGGCAGGGTAAGGGGGACATTCCCCTCTCAAACGGAACAAAAAAGGGAAAAACGAACAGAAACATCAAAAGAAAAGAAAAACTGACCAATTTACTTGAAAACACCACAGAATTGACCCCCTTCCATCATTAATGGTTTGAAAGTTTCCTGTTAATAAGAGCTATGCCCTCCCTAGAGACAAATCTGGTGATGCCCAAAGACAATTGAAAATGTACAGAACGACTTGGCTGTCCGAATCTCAGTGTTCTCTGTCCATCACCACGTCTGAATCTGATCCTCCTCCTGACACATCTACTTCAAAGGCCCACTTTTTAATCTTCTGCTTCAAATAAATTAATATTCTCGGCCATGTTTTTGCCTGATTCCAATGAAGACAAAGAAACATGCATGCATGAACATCGCGCTGTCACTTCAATGCGGTATAGCGCAGCATCTTGACATTGTCTTGCTGCTTTTGTTCTGGACGTGACATCAGGCAATGTGTGCTCATTGAAGAAGTGTCTTGGGGGAATTTGGGGGATGAGGCGAACATGGACTGTTTCTTTACACTTTCGGACAAAATTAAGCACCAGAATAGATAAAAACTTTCATTACTTTATTATATATATAGTCAGCGACTATTTAAGAAAACTTTTGCCTCTTTATAAAATCTTATTTGTGAACCTTTAAGAAGAAAGCTTTGTTGGAATGAACCATAAAGCTCATTCTATCTTTACCCGTGAATGGCGGGTCACAAGGTTTGCAGTTTTCTCCACCGTAGCCAAATGCACAGCCTGAGCAGTCCGACAAGATGGGGTCAGAACAGCGGCATTCATGCTGACCATTGGGAAGAGGAATGCAGCTGCCGTTGTAAGCACATTTCGCACCATCACACAGCCTTGGATCCAACTCACAGAAGTAGCCTTGGAATGACACAAAACGTCCAACTCATGTCAATCAATTCCCTTGTAGCAAATTACTGATCAGCTGACTCCATAAAGACAAAAAAAAGTTACTAGGAGCCTTTCAACAACCCAGTGCACCCCATACAGGTTGCCAACGGGAGCCGTTTTCTCAGTGCCTCTGAGAAACTTGTTTTTGATGTCCATAATGTAACTTTTTCTGTAAAATATGATAAATTGACCTAAGGAGCCTGCAATCTGTTAGTTAGCGGTGCTGCACATAAAAAATGTAAGATAATAACAATGGAATTAAGCAGGTAAGACGCAGACCACAAAGTTTAAATGTGGCCAATTCAAGGCAAATATGTGAGTGGGTATTGTATCACAAATTGATTTTTATTAATCAGCATACTTTCAAATTATTTGACTACAACAACAAACGAAGCACCAAATATCAGTAAATTAATAAGTAGTGCATCAACTTGGAACTCAATTACTAACAAAATAGTTTGAAATCGCTTTTCTACTATTCAAGCTTCCAAATTGAAAAGTCCACATTTGTCAAAACGGCACGAATTGTTTGGTCACTGTTAAAGTGCATCAAGCTAATTTCAGCAAAATAAATGCACGATGCGAAGTGTTATTTTGGGGTTCTGAAACACAGGTGGTGTCTTGGAAGTATATCGTCTGAATGTGGTCATGATCAGCTGCAACATAAAACTAGAAGACTTGGACTTGATTTCACTTGTATTGAATTTGTATGGCAACTCAATTAGAGACCTCTGGTTATTTCTTGTTCACCGATGTTAGTATTTTTTAATGGAAAAGTGATCCCAACAGTAACTACATATGTGACCCACTATGTGAAAATGAGTCTTAAGTTGCCAGAGCCACTTTTTGAGTTTTCATTTGCATTGGAAAGAGCAAATTGAGCTTTTTGTTTGATATATCACTCAGTTTGGCATCCTGATGAAAGTGGATACTCCATGGTGACAAATGCTGTGGGTTCCTGTTGATTTACACTGTGCAAAATTATTCTAAAGGACTGTCACTCCAAAGTGGCTCTGGTGACTTACGACTCGTTTTCGCAGAGTGGGTCACATATGGCAAATGAAAGTAGACATGGTTGTGAGAATTACATGCAAGAAATGTTTACAGTAAGATGCGATTTGTTTACACAAGATGATGGAAAAAAAGATTTGAGGCTCCCATGGTGAAGGGAGTAAGTTAACAGCAGCGGAATGGTTTTTAAAAGTGGGAGGGGGGTGGAGCAAGCCCCCGCCATTAGGCTGAAAAGAATACAATTACAAAGTACCTCCATCAGCTGGTAGGCCTATAAAGGGGGGGGGGAATAACTACCTTTTCAGGGGTGGAAGTGTTACCCCGGTTCCACCGTCGGTGAAGCAAGTTAACTAACAGGCTTGTGGTAGCACCATGCAAAAATACCTTTTTTTTGGTGAGTTTATGTGGTTTTGAAAGAACCAGACGGTACTCAAGGTGTGGTGCGTTAGCATTTTCTCCACACCTCACTGTCTCCAGACAACATGAGCCCCTTCACCATTGGAATCCATGCAGTCCCCGGACGACGGACCGACAGACAGAGCGTACTGTCCAAAACTTAGAGTTCCCTCTGGTTCTTTTCAGACCAACACATACTCACAAAAGAGATTTTTTTGCACCGTGCTACCACAAACCTATTACTTAATATGATGGAAGGAAGCATTTAATGGAAAGACAGCCTAAGTAATCACAGGGAAGTCTTTGCTGCTCACCTTCATAGGGTGCAACACATTGACAGGTATAGATCCCTACCCCATCAATGCATTTTGCACCATTCTGGCATTGATGATCAGCACAGTCGTCTGCGTCGCCGTCACATAATGGCCCTTCAAATCCCCGTTTACACTCACAGGTATAACGCACAGTATTTGCCACGTTCACACACTTCACAGTGCCTAACGAGAAATGTAGATGTGTACAAAAACATCAGGAGAATTGCAATTGCCTGGATTTTGCTAACGCAAACCAGCTCCCTCTACTTGCAAAAAATCTAAAAAACAACAGCCAAAGAGTTCAACTAAAATTCCTAAGATGAAAAATGTAAAGGCATTCACTTTGTTTCAACAATGATTGCTTAAACCTTTGGACCTTTTAAATTGTCTATTCATGTAAGAAAATGAATCAAGTTGGCAAAGCAGGTTAAATATGGATGCAATTAATGGAAAGATTAGCACCCATGTACAAACAAAGATTATATTCCAAACATTGGCTATGTTCTAAAACTGTTTCATATCTCTCATGTTAATCAAACTAATCAACAAATGGGATAAAAACTTCTCAAAAAGATGGAGAAAAGAATTGTTACTTTCTGTGGTAGTGATGGCATTAAATGCAGGCCATGGCCCAGTATTTACGTTAATTTTTTATTTCAACTTTTTAATAATCATTTGACCAAACAAACGCCGCAAAAACATTGAAAATTTCCAAATTCTACACACATCAATGAAGTCTACATATGAAAATGAATCAGGTTTTCATTTACCCAGAGGAGAACATTGGTTCTGTTGGCAACTGTCCACCTCCATAGTACAATCTCGCCCACTCCAACCAGGTAGACAGCTACAGCTGAAGTTGCGGATACCACCAAATCCATTCACACACTGACCAGGGATAGAGTGAAGCACATGACAGGGGAAGGGTGTGCACTCATCAATATCGCTACATGTGAAACCATCACCTGGGGGGTGGTAAATAAAAGCAGTCAGAAAAATATAGACCTTGAAATTCACTCATAAATGTAAAACTGTAAACATCTTCCATTTGCACCAAAGCGAATTTTTCAACAGAGCCTGGTTCTGCAGGACAAGTGCCCTCTAACTGCGTAGTGAAAAGGGGACAGCATGAGCCGGCAGTAGAATGCTACGTGCAGTATCAAAGTAGAAACCATGCAGGTGGGTTTGTGCATGTCTGGTGTACGGTAGATGATTTAAAATGGGAAAGTCATGTGAGCGAAGTAATCAAAAAAAGCAACTGAAAGTTATACATGCTACTATATATATTCCTGCTGGCGATCTTTTAGTTATCTATAAAGGTTACATTAGACCCATCTTGGACTACTGTGTTCCCGTGTTTAATAGTAATCTTACCCAAGAACAAGTGTATAGGTTAGAACGTATTCAAAAACGGGTGTGCAAAATCATACTCGGTAAAGATTATACACGCTATGACAATGCTTTTAACTTATGCAACCTTGAAACACTGCAAGAATGACGACAGAAAATCTGCTACGATTTTACTTTGTCAATTGAATCCCATAATGTGTGTAAAGGTTGGTTACCACCTTAAAAAAAGTCTTTTAACTTAAGATTCGCTCAGAAATATGAACAGTGTGAGTGTCAAACAAAACGGTTTTCAAATAGTGCTCTCCCTAAAATTGTCAACATCTTAAACTCTTTATAATTTTTATTTTTCCCCTTTTTTACCGTTATTTTATACTTTATTCTCTATCTTCCATATATTTGTACTACATACCTTATATATATATTTTAAGAATATTTCTTAATTAGTTGAACTCATTATTAATTTTGATGTATTGTAATAGCACTTGTAGTTTTAATGAATGTTTACGTGTACAATTCAGTTTTTACTGCCATACATGTCTTTTTAATAAACCATTCTTGAATTGAAAACGGTACTCAGTGCCGTACATGTGAGTGTAGAAATGAGAAAATGCTGTTGACACGTCCTCTCTTGTTGATGCAAGAATCTTGGACTTCAACAGATACACATGGGGGGTGCCCAGTAACAGCTGAAGTACCTTAGTAGCTAACACAACAGTGGGTAGCAGTTTTTACACTTAGGCCATTTGCAGACTCATTTTTTTTCCATACAGAGAAATAAGCTACATAATACATGGTGCATCGGTGGCTATAAGTGCGTAGAACGATCACCTCTCACCACTTTGACCTGAGATCAATTCCCAGCCAAGGCTGCACGTGGGAAAAGTTGTTCAGTAATTCTCTCTTGTGCCTTAAGGGTTTTCTCAATTTTCCTCTCTCTGTAAAAATCAACACTTTCAACCTCTGGCTCTTTTCCACATTCAGATATGCTTCACTTGGTGAAGATGCCTTTATATGTCTTTGGCACAGCCCCCGTTGCAGCTGCGTCTTTCAACAAATAATTTAGCCTATTGGCTGTAATAAAATGAACATGAACAAATTGAACCGCTGGATTGAAAGTTTCAGGTACCTGTAAATCCTGCTTTGCACGTGCAGAATCCTCGTAGGCATGTTGCATAAGGGCTACAATAACCGGGCTGGCTACATCGGTCATCAGAGGTCACTCTGACTGTGATGACTTGACGGAAACTTAGGTAAGTTGGATCCGTGACTTGAATAAAGAGACTCAGCACGTTGGTGGTCCAGGCGTCTAATCGCCGTGCCAACAGCAACTGATCTCCACTGATGCTAAAGAAGGAGTGGGAGTCTTCGTCTACAAAGAAGCTGAATGCAAAACCACCGGCGGTGTCCGGATCAGTGACCACAAAATTCCCCAGGGATTCACCCACATTCAGGGTCTCAGGAATGGTGAGTGTGGTGTTCCCGTCCACCGTCAGGGCTGTGGGGGGCTCTGGAGTGTCGGTGATGCCGATGTCAAAGTTCTTGACCAGCTCCAAGTTGGTGTTGAGTTCTGCCACCTTGACCTGGATGGTAATGATTGGGGTGGTTTCGTGGTCCAAGAGACGCTGGACTAGGACCCTGTGTTGCTGGATGTAGAATGGCGTTCCAAGAGAGATCATGGTGTACACGTAAGCAGTTTGTGTGCCATCTGGATCGTTAATGCTTAATTGACCTATCAATACAAGCCCAAAAGAAATACTGTGGTTATACTGCAGCAAAACTTGCCCGACAGGTTGAAGAAAAGCCCAACTTGCATACAAAAATGCAAACAAAATGGCATATAGGTCAGTAAAGTTGACTCTTCCAATTCTGTTTAAGGCAGCAGTACCTGACCATTAAAAGTACCGCAGTTGGAAAAGTATTTTGCAACAAAATCTTAGTTCTGAACAGCAGTTACTATTACATAAAGTTGACCACCTCAACTTCCAAGGAAACTCAGTGCACTCACTGTAGATACAAACAGCTAGTTAATCACAAAAACCACCTCAACCCTCTAGGTACCCCTTTCTACCAAAGGAGGTGAGAGGAACTCGTAACAAACTGTCTTGCTCAAGGACACATGCACCAAAATCCCACATTCTGGGCTCGAGCCCACAATCTGCAGAATGACCCACTGGCCTGTCTCCATTTTGATTTCTCAGCTAGACCATATGGCACTGCACTCCACTCCATTCCCAAGATAAGCACTCCATCTGCAACACGGCAAATGTCCCTCCATGTTCAAAATTTCTTTCTTACCAACTTGAGTGTCTATTAAGGCTCCTTCACTGACCATGATGGGGCTAAGGCTCATGTCTAATGGGGCCTCGTCTACATCAAAGACAACAACACGTAACTGGCCCGTGACCACCTGTGCAACAACAAAAGAATGAAATCATGAATGAACTGCACTGTGGCATGGCACTTTTCTCATGGAAAAGGGGCTCTTGAAAATGATTACATACATACAAATTGGACTATTGGCTTGCATTTATTAAAGGAGCAGGCAGGTTGGTTTTGTGGAACTAAATTCAATTTCTCCGTCATCCACAGCAGGTGACCTCTGTATCGATAAAGCCGATGACCATGCTAATGTTATCACTGGTCATAAGCATTGTTAGAACCATCGTAAAGAACTATTGTTCCGTGATGGTGGTTCCATACAAAGCCAACGTAATGTTTTCTGCCATTTAAAAGGGGCCACCAGAAATGTCTAGTGAAACATTGCTGAATTTGTCAATAAACATAAACATTTATCAAAATGTCAGGGATGGGGGGCAATGACACCCACAAACACTGAGCATCCCCAGGGCATATTCTATCGTCACCACAAAATGAGAGGAAAGATGGAATTTTTGAAAACTGAAACATTGGTATTTTTGACTTCAACCAAAACAGAGCTTTCCAATGATATATAACACGTAGGGTAAAAGTTGGGTGACAATGTGAAATTGTTCCAGCAGCTTTGTGTCTTAGTATCCAAAATTGTTTCAACATTTCATACAAGGCATGAATAATGCTATCGTCAAAATTGATAAGAAAATTATTTTTACAAATATCTGATCCTGCAAAAAGTTCAGAATTAAATAGATGGGTTACTCTTTCAAAAGTTCAGAATCAAATAGATGGGTTACTCTTTCCAAAATATTGTAAAAGCAAAAAAACTCCCCTTCAATTTTGAATTTGAACAGTCGATAATAAAATTTGAAGAGTGTGACTTTACGCTCATTACGTTGTGGTGGGTTGCATATGTAGTTGTGGACTTGAATATAAGCAATAACACTCACCAGGTTGGGAGTGTCTCTGTAACTGGCCTTAACATACAACATGTACTCTCTCTGTGTCTCATGGTCCAAGGCACCGCTCACCAGTATGTACTGGCCAATTTCAGGGATGACAAAGGGGACATTACCAGCCTCACGCTTGGACCTGGCATGTAGCCTGAGTGCAGCCCTTTTTCTGCGTCCTGTGAGGGGAAATTTCAACCACAGTTTCAAACCAAAATTTAAAAAACCCCAAATAACTGACAAAAGCAACTGGTTTCAGCTATGGTCTTGCCCAATAGTCTCATCTTAGAGGTCATCCATATAGTATATGTGCAAAATAAGGGAAGGGGGGTTGTGACATTAAGTATACCTTGCGTTTGGGCAATTAACGCTGATTGACAAACTTCTTCTGGAAAACTTTTCCAGTTTGCCAAGTTTACTACCAAATATGGAACTGTGTAGGTGTGAACAAAGCTAGAAAACACAGACATTGAATAGTAAATTCACAAAGATAAGATTTAATAAATGAGACAATTCAGATTATCGCAGTGCTGTAATAAAATAAATATTTAGGACAAAAGAACTCAGCTGTATAATTTGCCCTCAAAAATATATTTTTACAAACAGGTGTTAATCTGAAGTCTTAATTTAGTTTGGTTTATTTATTTTTATCTCGCTTGCATTTATCATCCAATGTCTATGTTTGTTCACAAAGAGTTCAAGTTTTGGTAGTGAGCTTGGTACATGAAAACTACTCAGCAACAACATCTGTGGCCATCCTACAAAGTCAATTTGCAGTGAAAGCTTAAATGAATGAAAAAAGACTGAATAACCATGAACTCTCAAAATAGCCTGTGTGGTATACTCTTACCAAGTCTATTGAGTCTGTTGTACTCATTTTCTGAGATCAATGACGACACAAGAGCTGACTGATCTGACGCTGGGGTTCCATCAGCTGCAATAACCGTGACATAGGCTACGATGCCAATGCCATCCTGGGCATCCTCCCTAATAGTTGCTATTGGCAAGGTGATGACGTGTCCTTGGAAGTTGCTCAAGTTGGGTGGATTGACGTTGGTGGTGGTGTCATCATCCGCGGCATTAGTGAACACGATGCCTGTGGGTCTCTCTGGTCCATCCAGGACATCGATGACAAACGTCTTCTCGATGGTGTTCTGTGGAAGGGAGTCGCGGCAGCTTATCCTGATCGAGTGAGATGATGCTGTTTCAAAGTCCAACCCTTCGGAGTAAGCCACTTGGAGCTGAATCTCACCTCCAAAGTTGACAATATCGAAACGACCACCAGCATCATCGAGCAATGTGCAGTAAAACCGCTGGTCACTGTCACTGGGATCCTGGACCTGGATGTTTCCAACAACGGTTCCCACTACTGAGCCTTCCAGGACTGAGGACCCTGTCAGCTGGATGTCCGTAGGGGATAAGTTCACCCCCAGCACTGATATTGTGAATGTCTGTACATGAATAAGCAGGGTTACCCCATTCAGGTCTCTCACAACAAATGTCACCTGGACTGAGTGTTCATGTAATGTCCCATTAGCAACGGCTAGCTTGTTACCACTGGTGATTTGTAGGGCACCCCCAGGGGTCTGTGTTTGGATATTAAATTGGTGTTGCTGCGCACGGTCCTCATCAATGGCATCTAGAGTGGCTATTACCATCCCAGACGGTGAGTCAGCTGAGAGGGTGCTGATTTGGGTCATTACGATTCCAGTGGGGGGATCATTACCATCCAAGACAGTCACAGTTACACCCTAGGGAAACAGCAAAACGGGATATTTTAAAATAAAACAAAAAGAGGAATTGGGTAAGGCACATTTACCTCTTAACCTTAACTCAACAATTCCTATATATTTCTTTAAAAAAGAATTTTTTTCCAAAACGTTTTGCAATGAATTCACTGACTACAGTAATACACTATGCTGGGACAGGAATGCTCTTTTCATTCATGGGGTTCTTTTAAAAACAAAATAACTAAAATTACAATGGCTGTATTTGAACAAAGTCATCTTAAGAAGTCAGCATTATTTTTTTCACACTGGCTTTGATCCATTTTTGCAATTAATGTAAATGGTTGACTGGAGATCAGACCTTTAATTAACCAGAGCACAGACATTGCATTTAATGTTTCTGACAACACTCTTTGCTGTTAGTATGTTTGGTTTCTTCCTTTGTGCTTACCCGTGACATTGTTATAGGTTTAGATAAGCATGCACAATATGTGGTTAAAAAAAGTAAATGATATTGGGTTACAACCCAACGTAAGGAACCCAACGTAAGGAACCCAATTAGTTATACACGGTACTCGCTGCCACATCTGATTCGAACCAGCCAGCCAACACCGACAAGCTCGTTGGTCGAGTGGTTATTGACATCTACACTAGTAAGCAGGAGGTCCTGGGTTCGAGTCCCATCCGAGTAAGCTTGTGGTTTTTCACAAGCCTTCGGGAGCACACACTGAGTATGCATTGTTAAAAAAAAAACACACGTCGGGCAGGGCAAAAATCCAAAATTAATTTACATCTCCCTGGCGCAAATCGATCTTTGAAATAGAACTCAACAGGGTCAAAGGTCATGTAAAATTGACATTTGCAACACACATTTGAACTGCAGTAAGCAAAGGATATCCCCACACACACACACATGTGGCCATCATTTCACATAACTTTTATACCGAACTTGAGCCAATTTGGCCCGACAACTTTCTGAACTGTGAACAATAGCATCAACTTTCCTTCACATCATAAGCCATGATCCCTTGCACTGCATGGTGGGATACTTCCCCTAGTAACCAGCACAGGGCAGAAGTAATCCAATGTGCTGGATATGCCATGCTGCAGTGTACTCCTCAGGAAAATAGAATGCTCCATGGATCACTCCTAGGAGGCTATTTTACTACAACACTCACAAAAGTCAATATTTGCATCATAGAGGTTTTGCATTGCTGGCATCATCATAGTGTCTCACAGGCTGTTTTTGTTATTGCAATTTTGTTACAATGAAAACACAAAAGGTTTACTTCAACCTATCCCAGTGTTACAAAACTCCTGCCCTCTACAACACCCCTCCAACTGGTTCTACTTGACTTGCAATAACTGATTAATTTAATCTAACATCATAAGACAGTTATGTTATTTGAAAGACAGTTGTTGAAAACCTGGTGGCACTTTTCCAAACTACTTCTCCATGAAATGCCCCTGAACCCACCTCTGTATTGCTAGAACTTTGGAATGTGTGCCACACATACACCTGTATGCATTTACGCACAGGCTCAGTGGTCACCTTGGTTGCTATGGTATACTTCTTTTGGTCGTGAAAAGCAACATAGCAAAAATAGACGGTGCCATGTGACTTGCACTTAGCCAATCAAGATACAGAATTGGACATAATTTTTCATAGTTTCTCAAGAGCTTAATGTTGGTGGATGGCTCTAACAGGATTGGCATCAATTAAAAAGATTTTGAATTTACACAAGGGAGAGGAGTCTGTAAAACTGTTGAGAATTAAGAGCTGCATTTCGAAAGATACCATCTCAGTCTCGGGGGACAGAAGCCAATCGAGTCATTTTTTTAAAATTATGTTTCTATGAATTTTATTTTCTAAACGAATCTGCAATTTTTAATTAATCTTCTAGGTCTCATTCTAACCTCAGTAAAGGACAGCCCATCCGCATCTGTGGTGGTGATCTGTATATCATAGAAACGTCGTCTCTCATAATTCAACTGAATCTGAGCAATCAACATGTTGCCAACAATTTCAAAGGTGTCTCTGTCTGATACCGTGTAGAGGAATGTGGACTGGTCAACTGTATCCGGATCCAACGTGTTGAGATGGGCAATGACAGCACCTGTGAATGAGACGGGACTGCAGAACAATTATCACGGCTGGCCTTTAGACAGTGGTGTAACTAGATGTGAGTAGGTGGGCGGAGAGGCAGGAGAGAGTACCAAACACCCCGTTTGATACATTGCAATGCGCACAATCTATGGAAAAGTTGCATGTCGGTTGCTTCCAGCGCCCTCTTGAAGAAATGTTAGCCCCCAGTGCCCTGCAGAAAGTTCACTCTAGTTACATCACTCACCATACAGGAACATGACCTGTGAAAAGGTGTGCTTCATAAAAGTGGATCTGATCAAAAAGGTAATTTCCAAGTACAACCTAATGATCCACACTGTACTCTTAAATCACAGCTTTGTAGTAATTGTGAAAGGCAATTTTAAAGACAAGTATTTCAGCTCTAATAACAAATATACATGTTCCCCATAATCTACTTGCATTTCAACTTGTATTGAGTCCATTCAAAAAGTTCGTTCAGACATTATCACAGCTAAATGCAAAACATCAACAAAATGTTATTCTCACTGTTTCATTTAATTATCAATTGAATTAAAATTTATTCAAAATTATTCACAAATCACTGAAAATCTTAAAACTGTGAAATTTTTACACAATTTCTGTAACTTCAAATCATTTTTGGTGAGGGTACTATAAAAAATAGATAGTAATGTTGCAAGCCACAGAAGGTATGAACAGGATGCAGAGCTGTTTATAAAAACTCTGGATGTGTTCCCCACCTGTATAGTGTTACAGGTTTTAATGACTGCATGCAACACCCCTGAACAAAAATATTGACAAATGGGCAGAATAGCTCAGTTGGCAGAGCCCCAGTAACTTGGAACAAACAATGAACAAGCAAGCACCAAGACCAGTCTACGTACCTGCTTCATTATTCTCCATTATCTCATAGACTCCAGTTGCAGATTGAATGTCATAAGGCTGCTCTGCGACATCCCTCACCGTAATTTCAAAGTGTCGGCTGACAGAAAGCGATCCGTCATCGCTACATTCCACAACAACAGTTGGCATCTTGCCACTAGCTGCAAAGATCTCATAATCAAGCCTCTGGCTCTGAAGCACCTGTTGGATGACAACGAGCAGAGCAACATGGTGTTCAAGTGACCGGGGTTACTCAAAGAAGGTCTCCCCTTGTCAACCAACAAGCCTTGCAGGGATTAGGATCTCTGCCAAACCTGTAATCCTATTTCTTGCTGACATAGAGAGATGGAAAGAGGTACTCCTGGAAGTATGCACAATACTTTGAATAACATAGTAAATTAAACAGAGTGGAATTCACTGTTAACCAATATTTCCTGTTAAGTCATCATGTCTAGCAAGTTTTGAATGCAGTTCCTCTATAATTGCAGAGGACTGGTAACGGTCGCTGTATATCTGCTCCTTCAATAAGGAGACATGCTTTTACTTAGAAACAACCCCTCTTTGGTGAGGAAACAACACATGAGCATAAAAATTTGTGCCCTTGTATTGCAAGCAGCACTGAGCTTGTGCAACCCAATTTGTCTTGAATTTGTGGTCTTGGTGTGTGCACCACGTGCCAACTTGAAATCTGCCCCATGAGCCTGTCTCCTCTGTGCCAATGAAGGGGTACATCTGGTAAGACAAGACAGCATGACACATCTAGACAGTTTAATGATACAGTGTCCTTCAAAATGTGACTTTTCAAGAACAGTATACCCTACTCCTTACATCTGTTCAAGCTACATATTTCATCTAAATATTCCAAATGGCAAACACCATGCAGTATTATTATCAACAACTTTGAAGGAAAGGACATGTTGACAGTTCATAAGCAGTTGATCACAGCAAGGATTAAAAAAACTTCATTCAAATAATTAGATTAAGCTTTGGCATCACAATTATTTATGTTACCTCTATGTCAAATCCATTTAGTCGAAACAGTCCCTGAGCACTGTCCTGCAATGAGCATATGAAATGCTGCTGTGTACGCGGAGTGTCCGGATCAATCACCGACAGAGTGCCGATGACCGTACCCTGGGCACGATTCTCATCAATTGCAGCTTGGCTGATTAGAATGTCTGTGGGAGCTTCGTTGATATTGAGGACCTGGATGATGTACTCTGGTGACTCAGAGACCTGAGCTAATGCATGAGGATCACGGGCAGCCAGAACTAGGGACAAGGAAGTCTCCATCTCAAAATCAACGGCTCGTCTTGTGACAACACGCTTGGAATTGAGGGTAGCTCCATCTTGCAACTAGGGCACAAATTCCACAAGGCAGTTCTATTTCATTCATTTTTTTTCCTTTATGTAATTAAGATTCATCATCTCACCTTAACCCTAAAAGAGCAGGGGGGTCTGTCCCCTTAAGATTTTTTCTAATATCTCCCAAGGGCATTTTGGGCAGGAACTGAGCCTTGAGAAATTTTTAGAGTAACTCTTTGCGGTAATTTTGACACTAAATTTGTGAAAATTAAACTGACTGTTCTTGTGCAGCGCCCAATTTTCTGAGACAGATCAGCCACAAATGTATACTTTTTACACTGTGGTGCTTAATGCCCCAAGGCTTGTGTAGCCTTGAACTTCAAATGATCGTAACAACATAATGATGTCTGATTGGGTTCAAACTTCACTCTTGTAATCATGAGGAGTATCTTTACATGCATGCCAAAGTTTAAATGGGACATAAAAATGTCACGCTTTTGGACCTCAAATTTATTAAATGACCCACCAGCTACACACTGTCCCAAAATTAAAGAGAAACATCCAAATTTGGGAAAACAGCACATGCTTCATGGGAATCAGTGGCACCTTTGCAGGGCCTCCGATTTGTAAGTAGGCCCCTTTCTTTTGGTAGGCCCTAAGAGTAGTGTTTGCTGTGCTTGTTGGCTAATCTGGCCCTAGGTAAATGAAGTGCCTTTATCAAGATCATTGTTTAGAATGCACTTTTCTCATCTACTCCAAACTGATCTGAGCCACAAATAAAATGCATGAACCCATGAAAAAGTCTTGTGGTAACTGCCTCATGCATGACAATCTTGTACCCACCTAAGCAAAAATATAAATTGGCAGTTGATACTGAATTAGGCTTGTTGGAATTGAAGGGTAGCTGCAATCAATTTTTTTTAATACACACCTTCAAAATGCTCTTCAAAATGTCTTACTTAGCCTTATTTCACCTTTTGTTTCACTATTTCAAAGGGTATTTTACTGCCTTTTGGTTTTTATTCTCATGAGTATGTCCCTATTCATGAGAAAAACTGTGACGTCATCCCAGGAAGAAGCCTCAATGTTACACTCGTTTGTACACAACAAAGTCAAGCATGTTTTTATATTCTGCTGGACTCAGTTTTCTCGTCTTTGCTGATTTACTGTTGTTTAAGCGCCTAGCAATATGAAAGCATCAATTCCTTTCTCTGAAATGTTTTCGGTAAGTAAATCCTGGGTTCACAACTTGAGCAGAATAGCCTATGCATGAACTATGTCTTCCCTAGATGACTTCACAGCAACAGCGCCCACAGTTGTTGAGGGAAACATGGATTAAGCGTTTTAATTGGTTTAAAAAAGTGCACTTTCAATGCATTTAACAAAATAGGAATGTAAAAGACTTTTCCTACACTGGAAAAGAATATATAGTTGAGAAAAAAAATTGAGTCTAAGAAAAATTCATTGCAGCTACACTTTAAAGTGTATGAGGTACAGTGATAAAGAAAAAAACTATGACATACATCAAAGGCACTGGAGGGATCATTTAATATCTGGAAGGTGACAGTATCTCCTTCATCTGGATCAATGGCTGAAACTATCCCTACCAGGGCACCCTGCTGATTCTCATGAACAGGGCTGTAGTGAAATGTCAAGCTACCAGGTGGTTCGTTCACATCCAATACCTGATGCAAAAAGGGGGGCAAAGTGAAAAGATATGAGTGTTAACATCATGACCGAGTTTGTGACATTCATCAAACTGTATGCAGGTCTATCTACATTCTTCGTTAATGAATTGCATCCACTCCATTCAATGGCAAGCAGTCAAATGTAAAATGATTCAGACTTCATTCCTATCATCTAACATTTATAAGAGCTTAACAATAGACCTGACACATATCGACATGCATCACACTTTGTTCAGGGGGGACAATGGATTGTGTCCCACATCACTGCCTTTAGGAAAGTGCACCTGTATACAAAGCCTGGCATCATGCCTAAAATTTGAACTGAAATTTTTGAACGACAAAAATGAGCCTTGTTTCAATACTGTAGACAATGGAGAGGTTTTGTATACCTATTGTTGTTTCTGTAGCCATTCTTGGTCATTGCTTTATGTTGGTCCAAAATGGAAGCCTCTAAAGAAAGCATCATATTACAAAGCTAATCTTGCTTCAAACACGAAAATGACAAATGCATTCCCTGTCACTAAGGGGGGGGGCTGGAGGGACATTCATCCTTTTTAACTAAGTAATGTATAACAGACTAAATGGGATAGGCGTTAACAGTTGACACAATTTGCCAAATCCTTTACACTGACATGCAGCACGCCAGTTATGAATGTGCACAATTTTTGTCCTTACAACTCGGTCTAAACTTTCTTGACTTCCCTAACCAAAGAAACAGTCCCCTGAATGTGGTGAAGGCCTACCCCACAGACTGGCACCATAGCTGTGGAGATTACCAGACGTAGAACAATAGTTACTGTGAGGACTAATATGTTATGGTGATAAGTTTATGTCCTCCATACTGACTATCGTAACAACAGAAACTGTTCCTCATAGCAGGACTAGCTGATGATATGTACAGCATTTCTCTCAACTAAATATGGCTATCCGCCATTCGTGGCTGAGCTCAGCTTTTGTATGTATACTGGGATTGATCTTTTATTAATCAAATCATACATAATTCAGTCACTTTGCGGCTAGAAGCTTGTCAAAATCAACAATTATTTCAGAGTTTCAAAATGAAGTAGCAAGTGGCATATTCATTAAGTGCATACGTATTGCAATTAGCTAGTTTCCCATACTTTCCCAACACCACAGAAGCTAATGATCTGTAACTGTGTATGTTTGCAGGCAAAAATTACTCTCTGGGTATAAGCACTCAAGTTTTGCAAATGTTTCCTCACCTATCCTCTATAACCCCTTATGACAACAAAGGAACTTTCTGCACAAATAATTTTTCCCAGTATAAAGCACGACAGTAAAAATCTCCCTGGACTTATTTTTACCGTTATGAGGAATGTCTTGACAGCACTATTTTCACCCGTCTCAGCTCTGATAATGACGTAGTGCATAGATGCCTCTTCAAAGTCCAGTGGTTGGGTCGTCCTGAGCTCTGGCGGATTCCCTCCTACCCCCGGCTGGATTGAGAACAGCCGGGAGGCCCCGCCCACAATGGTAAAATTGAACAGACTGGTTGGCATGATTTCGGCACTCAGTGTTCCTAAAATGAGTTTGCAAAATATTGGACAAAACTTTCATCATTGCCTCGTCATGTGCTGAGTATGCATGAAAATAGACATCTGGTTGCAAGTGATCTCAAATACCTGCTTTAGAGATAGAAAATATGTCCAATTTGCACAAAACACGACCACCACTGCAATGAAAAGCCCAACAGTTTTTTTTTAACCAGATCACAGACAGTGGACTGTCAGGACAGACATGGAGTCAGAATTACTTTTTCAAATATAGTTTTAATAGTGTTCATTTACTGGTAATTTATGTTCTGTGTGAAAATCCCATATTGGCATGAGACCATGAGAGTGAGCTGACAAGCATGGGTCTCATTCTCAATGTGTAGGAGTTGGCAGCCCTGCAATGTGTCAGTGCGTCATGTCAAATCCATTCTACCAAGAGCCCTTTTATCAAGGTGTCACTGTAGGTCCATGTGTTTGAAAAACAGTATGTTTTCTGAGTGTGGCATCGTTTGAGTGTAGAGATTATGTACAGTAGCCATCTTCCCAGTCAGTGCTTTTGTTATGGGGGACATGCACAAATGGTCTACTCAAGTGTATCCCTACAGAACAAAAACACTGACCACAAAGATGGCTGCTGTGCATTATTATGCACATTTAACACCAACTGGCTCCCTCCATCATCTGCTGCCATATGGGGATTCATGATCATTGCTCATCTATTTTTTGAGGAGTTATGTGAGAATACCAGGCAAATGAAAATTATGTGAGAATACCAGGCAAATGAAAATCCACTTCAAATATTACACACAGCATAGCTTTGGATTTTCTGTCCACTTCTACAGTAAGAAAGCTTTTGATGAGGCAAAAACGGTAATGTAAGTAAAGATTTACATCACAAATTGCCCTTATCTATTAGCAAAGAAGTTAGAATTGAGAAACGTACCGACAAGGGTGTTGGCAGGTTGCTGCTCACTGATGCTAGAATGACTTAAGGAAATGTTGATGGCTGAACCACTCCCTCCACTGGCACTATCACGGTACACAGTGATGACAAATGTGGCAGGTGTCATGAGTTCGGCAGCACCATCTGAACACTGGACTTCAATGGCAAACTGGTTACCTGCCAACGCACTCAGATCCTGCTGGACCTAATCATGGTCGAAGAAAAGGGAACCAGTAAAAAACTTTTAGGATGGAAAAAGACACTAAGACACGTACAAGTGATAACCTGTTCACTAGGTACATATTCATGCAAAATGCTGAACAAGAGCGAAGTACATGCAGAACTGTTCTCAAACCTGAAACCAACGTGTCATTTTAAAACTTTTTTTGCATACCCAATATCCAATGGTACGTTGTTTCTGAATGCTGACAATGTTTGTACGAGTGAACATGGCCATGACCTCATATCACAGCAGTATAATATTACAACAATACTCCTGTTGAATTGCTTTAACTTAATAGGGAGCAACCCAAATCTTTGAATGCTTTTGGACGCTTGCTTTTAGTATTAAGAGAAATGCTGTCTGTGTTTTCCAAGCCAGAAAGAGCTATTTCTTGTAAAGAACAAGAAAATGCAATTTCTCACTAGAAACCCAGACTGTGTTGTCATAAAAACGTCCGCAGTTATGCAGCTTGCCCAGGTTGACTTTGGTGAACACAACAACAATTGAACTACAAGAGCCTGGCTGATGAAATACTCATGAAATGCCTTCATTTGACACTGACTTGACCAAATGTAAAATGCTCATCCACTTAAAGAGTTTGCTACTAGAAGCCTGTTTCCTTGTGTTGCTTGTAATTTGCATGGACCAAAACATCAGATTAGAGTAACAGCCATAAAATCATTTTGACAAATTAGAATACAATTTGGCCCCAAAGCAAAGTTGAAGCTTGAGGTCACTGTAATAGCAAATTGATTCTTTTCTGCGATGCATGAGACACAATCCCAGGCTAAAAGAGCTACCACTTCACCCAGGGGCACATGTCCTGCCTGCTCCAGGTCAGTGGAAGAAAATTGTTGGGGCTTGTCTACGGCAAGGAATTAACTAGGGTTGATATCTTGAATGTTCCAAGATATGCAATGTACATTCCCCAATGTTCCACAGTCCTAATGTTTCCATTGCAAAATCAAGGTAACCTTACCCGTAATTCATTGCCAACAATGGCAAACATGTTTTCTGTGTTATTAACCAGGCTGAAGGTGTGTGTGTCTGTAGCGTCTTCATCAATACATTGTAGCACCGCTGCACTTTGTCCAATGGCAGTGCTGGCCCCAACAAAGGTTCTTGAGATCTCCACTCTGGTTGGTGGGTCATTCTCATTGATTATCTAAATAGATGAATATTCATAATGAAAAAAGAATGATTAGTATGTCTTTAGAAGGAAACCAATTCTCATAGTTGTGTGCTGCACATGTAGACCAGAACTTGGTCTCAGCGGAATATAAAAATTAACCCAACTTTTATGCTTAATATTTCCCCAAAAGCCATGCAAAACTCTACATATATGTAACTTTTATCCCTCTATCAAATTTTTTCAAAGTCATCGGATAATGAGCTTTACAATGAGTACATTACAAAACAGCTGCCAAACATCATGATTAGCATCTAACCAATATCGGTTATCCAATACACTCATTTAACACTTTTTTTGTTCAGAATTACCACTCTAGCAGCATGTGAAAAGCCTTTGGGTGCCTTATTGGGTATAAATATTGTAACATCTCTCTTGGGGGTAGGGAGTCGTTATCATAAAGACTGAGAGTAATTGGACTGACTTATACACACACTACTGTTTTATTCCGAAGAATCATTTATATCTTCTCCATGTTTACAATGAGCAACTGCTACTAGTGTGGCTGGATACTACTCGAATACTGCTCGTCCAAATCTGAGCCATTTATTTGGGAGTGATAGAAAGGTTGTTCATATCGGAGCTATACACTCAAGAATGGTCAGGGAGTTGTTTCTCCAAAGCTGCCCGCTCGGGAATGATCTATGCTGACCGCTGGAGCTGGTGGGCTTATTTTGACATTTGGGGCCACGTCTTAGCCAATGGGAGCACTGGATTGGGGTGGTTATGAATAATTCATACATGTAGAAAGTCTATGGAAGAAAAGTCTACGGGGATTTTGTACACTTGGTCTTCGCTGACTTAGTTTCTGGAGAGCGATAAGGTCCGAGAAGTTTGGGAGCGGGAGGGTGGAAGGCTGTTTGTGGGTGAGCTACAGGGGACTTGGTCAACGAGGGAAAGGAAAGGGTGAGCCTTTCTCGGTACATTGGGTTGTGTACAACATTTAGTCTCTGGATGGCTAGGAAATCTACACGTAATTCTTACTGGGTAAAACTGAGGGTGAGCAGAGGTAATTGACCTCGCTGTGCAGTGACTGGACACAGGCTTTCGGTGTGTGGTTTTGCGGGACACATACGGTATGAGTTGGGGGTCTGTGTGGGTCGAATGTACACGTTATATGTACGACTGAAAGTAGGATCGACTCTGAGGAGGATTTGGGGGAAAATGACAAAGTTGAAAGTGTGCTTCGGAGTTGCGGTTCATGGGCATGCTGCAGCATAGAGCAACGGGGTCGCGCGTGGAATGCAATGCGCTGTGTACGATCCGTATAATTTACATGTAGATGGTCATTGCGTGCTCGCTGTGGGGTAAGTAGTGTGTGTAGTAGCGTGTTCACTATAGTCTACATGCATAAAGGGGAACAGTTAGTGGGAGCGTAACAATATAAAGATTATGCTGGCTTGTTTGCTAACATGATGGGCCTACTCTAAAACCCCTAGCTAATCCTGAAACAATGTTGTATGTATGATTATCAGCACAAGGAATGAGACCTTAACAGTGAATTGTGATGTAGAGGTTAATCTCCCGGGATCTTCTGCCACTACGAAAACGGAGTGCACTTCACCAACCAGCGGAGACTCAAAGTTCAGGCCTTGTTGCCCTACTTTCAGGGCACCGCTCTGATCTGAAATGAAAGAGATAATGGGAGACACTCAATTATCTGTGATCCAGGTTGGATATATTGAGTGCAAGTGCAAATACGTATAGGATCCAATCACAAGGTGTCCATACATCACATGACCACACACTTTCCCTGATATGGGCCATAATAGTAAGGAAAGCATTTGGTTGGCAAGTGTTCATTCTATTTTGCTAACTGGACAAGGAGGCTTATTTCACATTTCACAATGGTGAATTCTTATTCAAATTGCATAAATGCCACCATTTGGGCTTAGTGTGGTTGTCAATGTTGTCTCGTGCAGTATTGGGGGCTGGCTCCATGTGCACTTTTTGCCGATTATCATAGTGTTGAACGTTTGCCTAACATAACATTACTGTGTGTGGCTACGTGGTCTTTGCCTACCAATGGTGGACACAGGTCAGGTCACATGGTCAGTTAGAGTGACCGGTACATCAAACTCTATGAATACAGCAGAAGCAGTGGCTACATAAGTCAGCATTTAACATCCAATGAACTTGGTCAAATCACTACCAAAAAAATCACTGTAACCAACAATGGTTCACCTTGCACGAAATTAAGAAACAAGGTTAAGAATGATATTGAGAATACATGTTGCAAATGTGCCCTAAGGTTACATTTCAAAGAGTCAACTATAGTGAACTTGAACAATCCTATGTTCAAGTGAGGCGTAATCAAATTACGGTGCACTATACTATGTGCAAAACTTTCAATGCTTTGGTACTTATCACCAGTGTGGCTGAGACGGATTTGGAGAAACTCAATGTAGCTCATAATGCACAGTGTCACATACACACGTCCATGCTTTAAATCACATTGCCATGTGGCAATCAGTCATGTTTGAACCGCTGTTGTAACCGACTCTTTTTTTTTCACAAGGCAAGTTGCAAGTGATTTTTTTCTCCAAGTCAAGTCACAAATCTGTTTGTCCCAAGGTTAAGTCCAGTCACAAATAAATTCTCCCAAGTCAAGTTCCAAATTAACTCATACACAGATTTCCACACTTTTTTGGACATCCTTTGTTAACCAACACGTGTGCTGCTTTGCAAAATAACTTTGGCTTCAATTTTTAAGCTTAATGAGCTCATTTCTTGTGGTAAACCATCAGTTCAATAAAAACAGACAGTTTTTGGATTTTACAAGGAAAGTCATAGCTACATGTATGTGAACATTTCTTCTTGCACATTATTCATTTCAACAAAAGTTGAGAGTCAACAAATCAAATTTGTTCGATTCAAGTCACAAGTCATTTTCTCCCAAGTCGATTCAAGCCTTGAGTATTACAAAAGCTGTGTCCGAGTCGAAGTCAACAATTCAAGGCATCAACTCTAAGATTCACTCAGATTTAGGAAATGTTTCATTTAACATACATGAATGGCAATTCAAAAGTGTAATACAATAACTGTGAAAAACAAAACGTTAAGGAGATATTCAGTGAAGGGTACTTGAATTTTTTTTCACAATTTTCCCCAAATTACAAATATAATGAAAGATATTTATGATGACCTGACTTGAAAAAGGTCAAGTAAGAGTCATGTTGTTTACACTGTAATTCTGAAGGTAAATTATTTATTTTTCTTTACATGCATATTAATTTCATGGATTTAGATACACGATTTCAAGGTTTTGGGCTGTATCGTTGACTTTTATGTCTGAAAGGTGGCTCTGGTAAGGCACCTCTTATGCCATAATGACCCAAAGACTCATCATGTAACATATGATTTTAGTCTACATAATCGACACTTACTTGCGGATGCATGTTTATGATATCTGTGCACATGCAAAGATTATGAAGGATGACACCTGCTTGGTCTCCGAATGTTGAATAATTAGCATACACAAGGGCTTTTGGTGGAAAGCTCAACAATGTAAAGGAAAATATGTCACAAACAACTCAATCCCATGGGTGGTTGCATCTACCGTAGTAGACTATGGCCTGAAGTCAGTTCGTATTTGTGTACTTGTCATTATTTGTCATGCAGAAAAGCACATTTCTCAGGTCTGAAAACTCTTGGACAAGCTTTCCACAGAAGAGTGCATTAAACTGGTCAGCGCTGATCCAGTTGCCACACAAAGTATGCATACCATGGTCAGCTATCAACCAATCAGCAGCCTTTAGCAAAATTCAGATACAATTTACATGTTGTTTTAGAGCTGCAGGCTATATTGAATAACTGGTGGCTCTAAGACTAGTACACACATATGGACTGGCAATGAGGTCACTAGTGCACAACTATGTCCCCAAGGGACTGTGAGTGACCAGAAGAAGGTCCTTTTTCCTGAGGCCGAGGGAAATACATGTATCGGACTCTCTTCTGGTCACTCACAGGCCCGATGAGGCATGGGCGTGCACTAATGGCCAAATTTGGCCAGTCCATATGTGTTTTATAACACACCTATTGTCATTCAAAGTAGACGTCGCCATTTTTCATTTTAATAAGAGCCATAGCAATGCCCAGAGGGTGCTATAACCAGTGAAAAATTTTCAAGACTAGTTCCTGACCGGGCCCTAGCCTCTGGAATTGATGAGAATGCAATGTCTAGGCACGTGTCGGGTCATGCTAATGCCAAATTTATATACATGTACTAGCCTATATTAGTGAACCACACATGACCATGTTTCAGCCAACCAGGAAAAAGAACCAGGAAGAGGTGTGTTATAATATGCATCTAACATATATGAATCTTGAAATAGTGTATATGTACATTAAACACTGCAGTTATGATGACATGCTATCCACCATAAGTTCAAATACATCAGACCGACATGCTTCCTGAAAGAGACCCTCAGAGGTTAACAAACAAAATTTTCTTCCCACTCACCAAGCACAAAGATGTTGGCGCTATCTATGATCTGAAGGGACACAGTGTCAAAATCTGGATCAGTGACTACTGCTGTGGCAATGAGTGTGTCTGGTGCAGTGTTCTCTGTCACGCAGGCATGGATACTAACGCCAGTGATAGATTCCTCCTCTGGGATGACATCACAAACACCAACATCACAATACATAACATTTGAAATGCATTAATTAAACATGGGTGTTAATCTTACTAAGGTTGACTCAAATCAAATATTCCAATACATATCAGACCTTCCATTTGCTCAAACATTCAAATATTCGGTTCCATCAAATTCCCACAAAAGCAGAACAAAACGTGTATCTTTGTGTGAAGGTCTTGATCACTGAATTCCAGTACAAGGGCTTGTCTCTTTATTAAGGAGAATGGGAGAACAACTGATGTTCAGTCCTAAATGGGGATATGTTTCCTTACTGAAAAAAAGTAAAATAAAAGCAAAACAAATGAGAACAGGAAGTAAGAGCAGTATTTTGGCCTAACTTTTGGGCATGTGTATAAGTTTCATGTTTATTCCTGAAACCTTGAAAAGCAATGCTGGAAAATAATTTTGTAATCAGAATATTTTTTATTTCATTGATTTTCACCGATGAATATCAATTTCAACAATTAATATATTTTGCCTGTAGCTCTAAATCCCAGAGGGAATGAGGGGATATACTCAAGCCTCCATAACTAGTCAAGCAATAGAAAAACATTGCATTCAGTTTGCAGCTACACAAGGCAAAACAGCACACCACAGTTTACTAGCATTCTTTTGTATCAGGTAAACTTATGCAAATTAGGAATACTTTTAGCCAATAGTGTTACACATTTAAGATGCTAAAAACTCATGAGACCCAACTGATACAACATAAAAACATTGACATTTTTAAAAGCAACATAGTTAAGTCTGAAACTGTATACAAATGTAACAATGTTGCAACTGCAATTTTGCACATGCAGTGCAGTAGCACGCAATTGCCGATACCATTTCCCTAGTTTTTGACATTTCAAGAAGAAATTCAATTTACATGAATATTTAATTACAAATTATGGATTGGACGGTACACTTCTGGGCAGTTTGAGATATTTTTATTTGCACAGCATACTCTATCAACTGTTGAAGGAATTTTCCACAAATTCTGTTTGGGAAAGTGACCAACTTCAATCTTCCCAAACGTTTACTTTCATGTTGCATGAAGAGTGTTGTCACTTTGTGGACTGTAGTATATCAGTGAAAGGGGACTGATTACAAGGATTAAATGAACTGGAAAACAAACCTGGTGTACACCTTGCAGTCACCTGCCAATTAATATCATTTGGGGGCTCGTTGACATTTTGAACGCTGATGGAGAACATCTCTATGTAGGATTGGTTGCCTGTATCAGTGGCTTGTATGGCAACAGTGATGCCAGTTGGATAGTCAGTGTAACTCAGGTCGGCACTCACCACTAAAGCATTACCTGAAACATGACAAATCATATGGTCTCAAGCAGGAAAAGTTCTATGTCAGAACCAGTCAGCACACAGCGCACTACATAACTCTAATGACTGGTGAATGAGTCTCACATCAGTTCATTCTCTCTTGCAAAAAAAGCAGAGTGTCTCTCCAGAGACGTTTTCTCATGGCCATATATGTTAATCCCAGGCGACAACTGAATAATTTTAAAATGTCCAAGAAATACTGATAAACATGGCCACTTCAGCAGGAAATTAACAAAATGCACATGCATGTTAGTGCACTGCTCACTGTGGAGCGGATGCAAGTGATGGCGTTATTTGCCAAAATACTTCCAGTATCACCATACAGGTTTGAAAGCACAGCATTGTTCCAATTGGACAAACTGAAGTCCTTGTAATATCGTAACAATAGTAGTCTCCTGTGAACATTCTCGGACTGTTTACATCAAGACCACAGTAACTTCAAGAAACACTGATTTTCTGGCTATTCCACTGAACTTGAGTTTTTTTACCAACTAAATGTCACAGTGGAAACATTTCTCAAGTACAGAGGAGATCTTGTGGTAGGTATATGCTCCATGAAGGAATTAACGAACCCCTTTCTAACTTACCATGCACAGCAAACAGGGACCCTCCTGTGACAATGCTCAGCTGGTGGGTGTCACCTTGGTCAGGGTCCTCCACTGTCAATGTCCCCACAATGGTATTGACAGCAATGTGCTCTTGGACAGTGGATGAGGACAGCAAAATGCCAAATGGCGGGTCATTGACATCTGTCACACTGATGGTAAACATGTGCTGGATAGTCAAACCGGCAGAGTCCGTGGAGGTAATATTCAGGGGTATGGAAGGGTTGATCTCATGGTCAAAACAAGAGGTCTCAGCGACAGTGAGGTCTGAGTTGGAAATGGAGAAACAGCTGCTGAGTGGACCCTGCAGGGTGTAGGTGTGGCTGTCACCCCTGTCCTCGTCATTTGTTGTCAGAACACCAATGACCGTCCCTACAGCTGTGGCGCTGTCAGGACTGGTCTCCGGTATTGCTGTAGCTGATAAACGCACGGCAGTTGGGGCGTCATTTTCATCTTGGACCATGATGGCAAACGTCATGACATTTGACAACCTGGGGCTGCCACTGTCCTCCACTTGGACCACAACAGAGTAGGTATTTACATGCTCAAAATTCAAGGAGCCAGCCACGAGGAGTTGATCGCCCTGGATATCAAACTTCCCATGACCACTTGACAGCAGTGAAAATGTCTGGTCTTGGCCCTGATCTGGGTCTGATGCCAAGATCGTGCCCACCTGGTCCCCCACAGCAGCATGTTCTCCGATTGTGTTAGAGGTCAGTGTAGGTTTCCGGGGTGTTTCATTCACATCCAGAATGGAAATGGACAGGTCAAAGGTCCCAGAAAGTGGAGGAGTTCCCGAATCAACAGAGGTCACATGGATGGTGTATGCTGGATCTGTCTCATAGTCAAATCCACCTGTGCAAACAGAAAACAGCAAACGGTGAGGCTCTAAATTTCTGGTAGCAAAAGCTAAAAATAGAGCAATGGAGCACTTAAAGATGGGTGTCTAAATCTTCTTGTCTTAGTACAATTACAACATTTGCTTCAAGCTAATTCAGACAAATTCTATTGTTATACCACAGTCATAGACAGTGAATTCGTAATAATTGCAAATTGATCATGTTACAAGCGCGCATGTATCATTCATGTGTCGCGCCCACTGGCAATGTTGACAGTCACAAAACTGATGGATAATGGTGATCTTTCCCAATGTTGGTGTACTGTGCCTACTGCATAATCTTGGGTACAGGGTTGGATAGCCACGGTGGTACTATGTGCTTATTACTGTGAGAGATGTGCACCGTGTTTGGGACATTGAAGTACTGTGTTTGTTCGCATGTGCTACTTTCTTCACTCTGACCATGACAGAGACCTGCAGGTACTAAACCTCTGTTCATGCATCCAGCTATGCTTATGGAACACAAGTACGCTCTGATCACTGTGTTTGCTGCGATCACCATTGCTGTTTATATAAAACTGTCATTCTGTTGTCTCGTCTTGTCTACTCATCGATCTTCTAAATACTTTTCAATGCAATTTGGTGTAAATGATGTCTTGAAATTCAACCAGTTGACAAAACCCCCAGTGCTTTATGAATCCCGGGTATCTCTGATAAACAAATTTGTTATAAATCCTAGATTTCTCCTGTCCCCCCCCCTAAAAAACAAAGGTCAAGAAAAGGACATCGACCATGGTATAACAAAACCATTGTTGCCTGCTGTGACAGGGTCCATGGGTTTTGTAAAACCGTCCAGGGCAAACGGCACCCTCAGCTTCGCCTCTAGTGCCATCTGTCTCCTCGATTGTACAAAACACCTTGGACCCCTACACTGCAGACAACAATTGTTAATTGGCAGTAAAGTTGGGGACTAGGACACCACAGCAACACAACCAATGGGAGGATTGCCACTGTAATCAAGGTAAAAACCAGGAGTAAATTGTGTGTCATTTTAAACTGACTGCAAATTGGACACAGCAGGGCCATTCCATGTCAATTAACATGATTAATGCATGAGGTTATGCAAATTAATCAAATATTAGTTATACAAATACATAAAAATCAGTTTTAGATGTTTCTTATACAAGCCAATCACCACACCAAATATTTTCCACTCTGTTGGAATGACCAAGCATTGTTACTGGCCAATGCTGTATTCTATCACACGTCCATCACAAGTCATTCTGTCTTAAGACAGCATGCAGGCTATTCAAACAAACTGAGATAATAGCATTCCTTTGTCGTTATTAACCCTGTTACTTATGACTGGCCTAGTGAAGGGACTTAACTGGACTTGTGAAGGGACTTGTGACGGACTGGAACACAACACAGTGGCACTTACATACCATGGGTTTTTAAAGTATCGCCCGATGTATCAATGTAGAACTTTCCTGATGGGTCTGATGTTAGTGTGTAAGTGTAGGACTGGTGGTTATCAGGATCTACAGTGTGCAGCATTCCCAGCACAGTTCCATTCACTGTATCCTCAGGGATACTGAAGGACGATGGAACAATTGCCAGCGGAGGGTCATTAACCCCTTCAGTGTCCTCTGTTGCGATACATTCTGCTGTGCTAACAGACCATACACCATTCTGTTGGCAAATGATGGTGGAGGAGCCAATTCGAGTTCCTAGAGTAAGACGGATAATAAAACAAAACCAATGGACCTTTATTCACAGGGAAGCCATATTTGTGCATGTTCCCAGAATCTAAACAGTTCAATGTAATCTGTTACATAGGGTGGTACCAGACTATTTTGGGTTCCATACCTTACTTTCATTTTTTTAAATGTGGCTTAAAACATTTTGATATAAATGATCACAAATTTTAAGTTCTTCATTAGCATAAATGAAATTAATTCACGTACACCTAAGTTTTTCTTCTGTGCTTTCATTTTTTTCTAAAATGCCAAAATGAAAAGTTTGCTTTTTCAATACGGGCAATTCACAATACCGTGCACCACAAAAAGGTTGTCATAGAGAGGGCATTTTTCAAGTTTACGGTCCACAAAAAAAAATGGCTGACTTGCCACGATTTCCAACCCAGACCAAAAACAGTGGAACAATTCAAGATCCCCGTGAGCAGTGCAGCCAGCACAAAGAGCTCTTGTTGTCCGTTTTCCCACTTGTTGCTAAAAAGGGCTCTCTACGGCAACAACTTGGTGGCACAGTATGGCATTGTGAATCGGCGAATCGCCAAACTTAGTATGGTTCTGTAACTCTCTGTAACTCCCATGACCCTTTTAAATCTCAACAAGGATAACAATGGGTTGCCCATTCCTGGCTAGTCCCTTGGATTTTTCCCAGGACATTTGCAGGGATCTTTTCCCACCCAAGAAGAGGGATGAGTGAATCCTGAGTAGGACCATTTACTGCATTCACTCTTACAAGCTAGTTAACCACAGTTACGTTGTAGGGACTACGCATGAATTAAATGAAAGCTATTGTGAAGACCCAAAATGTTGTGCAGACACATCAGAGTCCTCACAATCCAATCCAATGATCTTCCAACAACAGGTGCTGTTCGCTCAACATGGTGCCAACGAGGCACTGCAGACAGTACCAATGTATGAAATGTCATGATCACCCGTGAATTGAGAGGGAATCAAATACTACACACAAAGAGACCAGTACAGAATCCTTCTAACCTTGAATGCAGGACAGACTGCATCTACTGCCGTAGGTTGTGCCAGTGCAGGACATGTTGAAGCCATCTATACTGCCAGGTTGACCACAGTCGATGGCTATACAAGACTGACCATCCCCAACTGGTTGGAAGCCATCATTGCACAGGCAAACAAAAGACCCTGTGGACGAAAAGACGGCAGAATTTCACTTGGAATCTGCTCTGCGTGGGAACAAGAGAGTTTTCTACACAGTAGCAATGATCCATTGGTGGGAACTCACTGCATATGCCAATGGTTCACCGGTTTGGTGTGGGATGCACCAATTTGTGTGCGCCGAATGCATGCATGTACGAGCCCAGCTGGCTTAAAAAAGATCCCCCCAGTCTGTCTCTTCTTTTGCCAGAGAGAGCTTGAACTTTAACTCAGAGCCAACAAGGACAGATTGAACAAACTCCTTCAGGATGGGGCTTAGTAAGGGTAAGGGTCAGGGTTTGGGGGTGGGGAGGGTTGGATGCCGGATGTTCGAGCTTTGAAGTTTGGGGCTTTGGTTTTGAATTTGAAGGTTGAAGGTTTGGTTTGGATTTCAATTTGTTTTTGTCTTAACAACTCACTCATACAAGCACCACAGCATTCATCATTTCTTTTCAACGCTAAATTTATAATGGAAATCTCATTTGTCGACTGTATATGTATGTGTATCAAGCAGACAATCTCATGAGGTAACTGTGGCCAACTTTGTTTTCTTAGACCTAGTTTAAACATGCTTCACCACTGAGTATTAAAACCTTTAGTGCAGAGCATATTTTTAACACTTTCACCCGTCACACTAACGGGACAATTTTGAGACACTTCTTTGGCGGCAAATAAAGTTGTTCCACATGAACAATCCACTGCTGTCTACGTCATTCTGTGCATGTACGCTAACAATTGTAAACTGCTGATGCAGGACCAGTATATGCTTCCCACCAGACATCTGAAGGTACATTCTTCTCAGATTTATCCGAGTCTTACCAATGATATTGACACAATTTTGTTGGCATGCATGTAGACTATCCTCGCACTCATTGACATCAGAGCATGATACACCATCTCCATCAAGAACAAAGCCATCATGACAACTGCAACTACAAGGCAAAAACAATAAAACAATTAAACAATACATTGCTTTGTGACAAAGCACAGGTGAATGTACAACTTGTAACGAGACACATAAAAAGCTCATTTTTCAAAACTTGAAATCTGGCCAAACAACAAGTGCAACGGCACCACCAATTTGAAACTGAAAGCTAAATTACATGAAGATCAGATTAAATCTCGACATCACACTCACTGTGCAAGAGAGATCACTTCATTTTCACCAAATCAAGTTCATTATTTCATACATATCTTAACATTCATGTGTGATGGCAAAATGAACCTGATAGGGTCAACTTTAGACATCTTGTAGAGGGCTGCAAATGATTTTCTCTTCCCAAGAAGAGATGCAAAGAGCAAAATACCAAAATGGATAGTATTCAAACATGTCAAAAGATGGCAAAATGCCAACGTCCTCATATTTCACTGAAATCTTTCAACATGGCAGATGTGCTTTAACCCCAACAGTTCTTGGCCAAATTTCGTGTCACTGCTTACCGCAAGCGAAAAATTGGCGCTCACCGTAGCAGAACATTCTGAGCTTACAGCGAATGTATTTCACGGGTTAGCGAGGAATTTTGGCCTGTGCACATGCGTACATCTCGTAACTGAGGATTATGCGCTTTAAAGGTGAGCGCAGAATTTTTCTGCTAGCATGGTTAGCGCAGAATGAAGATCGTAAGCGCGAAATTCTGCAGTAGGCAGCGCCATGAAATTGGGCCCTTATCCCTCACAGTCAAATATAAATCTACATAAACTGTAGGTGGGGTCAGAGTTAATGCCTTTCACTTTTCCGGCACAAGCATAAAGCTGGAATTTATAAAAGGAAATAATGCATACATACACAGAGTTTTTCCAACATCTTCATCACATGCCACACAGTTTGCTAAAATCCCTTAATAAAAGACACACATACTTATTTTTTTATATAAATTAAATTGTTTTTTTTTTTTTTAAGCTAATTTAACACAACATGTAGAACATAAGATAGAGTCAACGTTATGTTCTACATGTTGAGTTAAACTAGCTAAAAAAAATGAAAGAAAAAGAATTTAATTTATATCTAAGAAACACAACACTGAACCGGCTGTATTCATTTATTTGTTGATGTTTTTCAGCCTTCCCCAATCTTGTTTACCTGAGAGATTACCTTTTTATAAGATTCTTTTGAATATACAGATGAACTTCTGACCTCTGATGAAAGGGAACCAGTGGCAGTGGAGAACAAAAGCATACTGATGGGGAGAGGAAAACCTACCCGTTTGCTACCAAAATATCTTTTATCCCATACCAGGATGCAAACTAACAAAGTCATGATGTAATACATAAAGCCTGATTGTGTGCATTCTGTGGGATATGTCAACACACTGCACAGTACAATACTTGCCAAACTGCAGACACAATCACATCGTGCAATTCAATGAAATTCCAGGGAAAATGAGACTGGTTGTGCCAAGCAATACCAGTCTCCCTGGTTTGTCAGTGACGTGGTTTATCAGCGGGCTGTCCATAGAGTCAGGGTTCATTTATTTTATTCATTTCATGTTATTTTCCCAGAATTGTTCTCCCTGAGGGCCCTTGATTAAAGTTGTAAAAAATAAAATGCGTGCATGGGTGATTCCAGAAATTAGGGGTCCCAAAGTGTGACATTTTCATGTCCCTGTTACATCTGACCTTTGTTATTTGACATGGAAATATCACCGGAATTTATTTCAAACTGATGCAATTCGTTTGGCAGGTAATTTGCATTAATTCATCACACATGGAAATTAGAAAATGTGTTCTGAACTTACAAAATCATATGTCAGATGTGACAAGGAAACAAAAAAAATGGACCTTACTTTCTGGAGTTACCCACATAATGAAATGGGCTCATAAACATGCTAGTTTAAAAGTACATGTGACATCAAAACGTGATATAAAAACTAAGAATTACATTACAATATGGGTTTAAAAATATGAACCCACTTACGTAAACCATAGTTTGATAACAAATACATTAAATCCAATTAGATACTCACAAGTTGATAAAACAATCAATTACCCATTTGAAAAAGATACTCACTGCTTCTAGAACCCACAGTTCAGCTAAAAATAGGCATTAATGTTAAAATACGCACCACTGACTGAGTTTATAACCCCTAAAAAATGAATAAAATATTAATTATTTATTTGCCCAATAAAGTGTCATAAAAGCCTTACGACTGTTTTACAGCAGGAGCCAAGTTATTCCAAACCCATGTTCCAAGAGAGTTGCCGGCAGTGGTGCAGACTCTAGGAGAACAAATATTATTCCCGACTGCCTTTTTGGTTGGATATGAGTGTACCTCACTAGCTCAAGTAAACTCATGAGAAATGTAGTTCGGAGCATTGTCAATAATAATTTTGTATATAAGAGTACTAATGTGGTGATCCCATCAGTTTGTTTTTAAAAGGGACCCAATTCAACAGTAGAAAATGTATAGTCAACACCCAAAGCTCTTTCTACCCATCTGTTTGTGTTGTCTTAGAATGTTCTTCAATCACTCTGTGCATCCACTAACCCAGGCAGGACAACAGTATTCAAAATAAGGCAAGTATTACATAACAATTTGATAACAAGAGAATCCAAACATCCCTTCAGCAATCTAAGTAGCGCTAGTCGACTGGAAATTTTACGGGCAGTTTTCGGAACACACTGCTGCTAGCTTAAGTTTTCATCCATCCATATCCCAAGATACTTAAATACAATTCCAAGTTCCAGCTGTTATCCTGCACCAAATGACCAATATCTGTGAACTTGGGTTATGATCCAGAGCAATCGGTGATGAAAACACAGCAATTAGCGCTGAATTATCATCACAACACAAAAGCAGCTGGAACGTGTATTTACATGCAGGAAGTGTTTTAGCTAGTTACCAGCAGGATACCTGTGAGTATTATATAGAGGGCGGAGGAATTGTTGGCATTGAACATGCGGCGCACCCAGTTGGGGGGGGGGGGCAAAACAAGCAAATGGCATTCAATGACTTTCCATAAAATGAATGTATTTTCCATGTAAATGAATGTTAAAACCTACCAATATCTCATTTAGGCACTGAAAAAATTAAACATTATGTCTTTTGCTTCTAACATTTGGGTTTTTTTTTTCAGTGCCAACTTGTTCTTAAGTATTCATTGAAGAAATATGGAATGCAAATGCTTACATGTATGGACTGTTCCAAATGAGTTTCAGTATTTCAAAAAGCAAAGATCTTTCGCGAACAAAGCGCGTGCATTAGTCAGCACATGGCTGCGCTGATAGGACAGACTATTTTATCCACGTGTACTGTTCCTGAATAGTCTTGTACTGGGGTACGAGCTCATTCACAAAGTTTAGCACCACAAGAGACTACAATATAGAGGTTGTGTAGCCCTGAGATGAATCTTAACAGAGTTAAACAGAACCTTCTTTTTCAAGTAAAACAACTTACGACAAAGGTATACATTTGTAAATGTGAGGCACAATCACAGACTCCTGGCATGCACAACTTGTACAGAGAACCCTGTCATGACAGGCTACTCACACTTCACGCTATCCCCTTTGTTGATATCATAGAGGAAAGTAATTTCTAAACTTACCTGGCAAAAAATATGCTACACGTTGGAGCAAGTGATGTTTAGAAATACCCCAAATAATAAACCATTTTTAGCAGCATTGTGGGCGTTGCCAAAATTTTTTTGGGGGGAGGAAATTTAATTGTTCTTTTATTTGTAGGGAGGGTGCAACCACCAACAGCAAACAGATAAAATTTGTATAGTAGAAGGGGATCAATTCCAAGGTCTGTCTGCTTCTCTTGATCTTTCTTTTTTCCGGGGGGGGGGTGAATTCCCCCTTGTCCCCTCATAACGCCCATGCATACCCCTGTTATTTTGCACTCATATTAAATGCCATTCCATTTGCAAAAATCATGGAGGAAAGTAATGTCTACACTTAAAACACAAGGCAAACCATCTTATGTGTTCGAACAAATGGTGCTCTAAACGTCCAAACTAATTCAAATATGCACAGCAGCATTTAGTTGGCAACGGATACAAATGTGAAAATACAGGTATTTGTCACTGCCATCACTTTAAGCAACGATTCTCTTTCATCATTTTCTTGCTCAAGGGGCTTGTCATTAAACGCAGGCTGAAGTTTTGGTCTTCATTTTGTACATGCCATTGAATTCTAATGAACACATTCCAAACCTTGTTCAATACAGCGATCATGAGCTACCCCCGTGGTAAACTTCAAGGCTAGGTGGATTCTTTTGATTGCGACATTAAAGCCATTTAGTGTGAATTCATCAATTGGCAAGGAATAAATTGCCTGAGGGAAAACAATTTTATGCAAACATGAATCCAGACATTTTGGCATTTACTTCCTTATTCTCACAATGTAGTCAAGGTTTTTGTACCTGGTACATGAATGCATACGGTGCATTCAAGTCAGAACTAAACGCAGCTGGGAATATCCCTTCCTTTCCCTCAGTGTTCCCATGACTTGATGCATGTCACTTTGGATTTGAAGATCAATCTGAATTCTATGAAATGTGACTTTTTGCCAACTGACATGTGTCCATGGCTTCTTTGGAAAACAGAAAGCACGGAAAAACCCTGTTTCACTTCGACAAGGATGGCAAACACATTTTGCCCTGAGGCTTATAATTATGTCCATACTAGACAACCAGTTTTCCTGCAGTGTGTTGAAAAGTTAAATCACAGTATAAACAATCCGAAATTTGACAAAATGGGACAATTTTGGTGTATATGGAAATGAAGATATGTACATGTACATGTGTACAGTTCTTGTCCATTCTGTATTAACAACCAAGTTACGTTTGTGGCTCTTACAGATTTTAGAGAAAGTGCAGATAAAGGAACAGATTTAGTCCTGTATTTTAAAATTTTCCTCTTATATACGTGTGCATGTTTTTAGTTGCTAAATTGGTTATAAAGTGTCAGGAAAAGGACATAAACATGGGAAATAGGAGAAATTCCTCTAGAATTCTGGAACAAGTTAAACGTCCGCGTTTAGGCTATAAGACCCTGTACTGACAAAATTCCAGGAACAAACTAGAGTGTACAATTCTGGTGTTAAATTTTTGTGAACTTTATGAAAAGAAGCAGAACAACCAGTACATTCCCTCAATGACTGCCACCGACAATATTTTTTAACTTTAAAATAATTTGAAATTGTCAAAGTTCATGACCTCACACCACACATGAATAAGAGGCCATGGATTGGTGGCTATGTTTGCTTTGCAAAAATTGTCTGCCGTCTGATTCCCTATTTGTGCATGCACTGATGGAATCTGTGTTTAACTTGAAAAACGTGAAGAACGAATTTTCCATACACTTTTAACATTTAACCCACACTGTATAGAGGCTCGCCACAACCTACCTGGGTGTTTTAATTATACATACAGAGTTCATCAACAATGCACATGATTGGCCTTAGTTTACATGGATGTTAGAAGTCATTCAAAATAAGCAATTTTTCTTGTTTTAAATTCAAATCCCCCAAATTGTAAATGGATGTTGAAAAGAAAAATTCACTATGCAATTAGGAGGAATACACTTATTTGAACTTTTTAAAACTGAATGCCACATCATGTCAATCAAAATATGAAACCGGAAAAAAATCAGATTTTTTAATATTAAAGAAAATCTTTCAATGCAAACGTCGCACCCTTAATTGATCCCTTAGTTGATCCTAAATGCCGAACATAGTACACACAGCTACACACTAGCCATGCTTGGTTCCTGGTAAGATGTGAATGTATTGAGGCTACATTAGGACTAATGTTTCCTTCTTAATGGTAAATGACTACAATCTAGAACCACTTTTTTTTGGGGGGGGAGGATTTTGCTATGTAAGCTTTTGTGACTTTTGTAAGTTCTGAGGCTACATTTTGGGTCATTTTACATGATTTTGGTAGGAAGGGATGTCGAATGCTCCCTAAAAAAAATTTTTTCTTGTTACATTTCAAAAAAAAAAAAAAAATAGGGTCTCTTTTTCAGGGATGGGCCATGGCCTCCACTGGCCCCCTCCCCAGATCCATCACTGGTTATCCTTCTTGTTGACATGTCACATTAATGATGTTGGAAGTGTATCGCATTTCATTTGAACTTGCATTAAAGACAAGACCAAACATTCTTGCACTGAATTATCTGCACTTTGACTCACCTGAATGAGCCAGGCTGATTGTCACATCGCTGTGTGCAAGTACCCTGCCCTGCCAAACATTCATCCACATCTGCACAAATCCCATTCATGGTGTCATAGATGTAACCGTTTGGGCACATGCAGCGGTATGAGCCGTCCTGATTGATGCACTGGGCCTCCACAGGACACGGGGACGTCGGCAGGCACTCATTAATGTCCTGACAGGTGCGCTGGTCTGATCGTAGCTCATAGCCATTTGAACATGAGCAGTAATAGCCAGAGTCTGTGTTGTGGCAGGCGTACTCGCACCCACCACGATTGTTATTGCATTCGTTGTTGTCTACAAAGAGAATAAATGACTGTTATGAGAAACTCATACACTCTACACTGTATATCCCCAAAATGGTGCAAGCAACACTCCATTTTAAGCACGTCTGCTGGCTTATTTATTATTTACCTGGCTTGAAAGAGGATATGTTTGCTTGATTATGCTTTTATTCGATTTCTTTGATTTTGGCAATCCAGATATATGCCCTGTAGACACAAGCGTTGACACTGTGCCACATTTGGTAAGAAAGGGGTTGCTCTTCAGCATATTTCAGTTCACAGCACTGCTAACATCTCCTTTAAAATCAAATTGCCAAGGTGAAATGCATGTTTTGTTTAATATTTCAGTAGGGCAAGTGATAAAACTAGAAAGTGGCACAAACTCATCTGTGATTGGTTGTGTTTACTGAGGCCATATCTCAAGACTGGCAGAAGCAAATGAGATGAATTACCAAGTATCATCAAGCCCAGACTGCCCTCTTTCAAAACATGCAAGTTACAGATACAGCCAGTTGAACATTCATACTAAAATGGACATTATTTGAATTACTTGCACTATGTTTGTGGGAACAAAACTAAACTCATTATATACAACATACACTACTCATTAAATACAACATACACTACTCATTAAATACAACATACGCTACTCATTAAATACAACATACACTACTCATTAAATACAACATACACTAGGTATGATCTCATCATGTAGAAGAGCAGGAAAACCTCCCCAGTACTTTTATGTGCTATATGGTACTTTTTCACAACAATGGCTAAAAACCAGTAAAAGGCAATAATTATTGAATGACATTTTGGCTGGTATCCTAATCTTAGCTGTAACAGCCAGTATCTCTCTCTGCTTATAGTAAATTTCCCTGTTAAGCAGTCCTATTGAGTTGGTTCCATTTTTTCTATCAAATAGTTAGGTCCCCCAAAAGGTTACTTTTCCTGCTTCCTGACTTACCCTATTTTGATGGCATGATCCTAAATATTTTGGGGGAAATTTCAGGAAACTGTGAACTTTGAAACAGACGACAAAAAAAAAAGGTCGATGGTAGTTTGAATGTGGTGCAAAAAAGTTCAATTGACTTCTTTGAGTATGCAACCAGTGCCCTTTAAAGTGATGTTCATTTCAATTGAAATGAAAGGAATGAACAACAATTTCTATTTCTGGTATTAGGTCTGACCATTTCACACATAACTGCACAGTGAATTAGTACAACAAATGAAAAACAAATTTCCACCTACCTATCCTATTTTGAGATGCTATGTAATTGGAATCAGAACAAGTTTTTGTCAGCATTGAAAAGAAAGTAGTTTGTTCTTTGAAGAAATGATACTGTAAAGTTGGTGACATCCTCTTTCAACTTATGTTGATTCCAGATTCAACATGACATTAGTGATTATTTTCTTGAAAGTACTTCCGGCCTCAAAGACAAGACTAGTAGATTGATTATCACAGACTGATACTGTGTTGTGTGTGTGGTATATCAATGAGTCTATTGTACAGCACAAACAGATGCACGGTGTTTTGAAAGCCAAACATTTTCAAATAAGTCCCTATTAATTTTCCAAAAAGAAAATCCTGAAAACAATTACAAACAATTGCTATTTAAAAGCCAAAATACATGAAAGTGCCAATCTTTTATGAACTTAAAGTTTGAGGAAAACCAGTTACAACTTCGAGTTGTTCCTTGAGTTGTTATTAAAGAAAACAGAGACTTACTACAGGAGCTAAAGCATAAATACTTAAAATGGATGTCTTTTCAGGACGTTGATGGTTTGAAGTATCTTGGCAGGTAAGAAAAAGAGAAATGGATAAATTGCAAATTAGTCTTCTTCCAAGCAGACAGGAGTGTTTACCTGCACAGGTGACTCCATCTGGGAGTAAGGCAAAGCCGTCAATACACTGACATTGAAATGTTCCCTCCATGTTGTTGCAATGGTGGCTACACCCACCGTTGTCAATACCACATTCATTAATATCTGTGGCAGATGTGAGTACAGAAAGGAATTATTTCTGAGATTGCACAAAAGTCAACCGTTGTCCACTGTAAAAATCAGGCTCATTCTGTAGAATATGAGTTAACCAACTCATGAAAGTCAAAATCTTTTTTGGGGGGGGATTAATTTTATCAGTATTTCTAAAGTCCCAAATGCTGCACTTATCAAGGACACTATAAAAGACAAAATATTACAACTGTGGTCAGAATACAAACAAAAGGTCAGAATACAAACAAAAAGAGCCTGTGATCTATGAATGAAATTTCTTTCTCATACACTAGAACCTTATCTCCCATTGAACAAAAACAAACAATCAACAAAACAAACAAAAAAACAGAAATGGAAATCAAACAAGGGAAGTGAGGCTAGTTTAGACTTTACCACTGCAAGTAAGAAGGTCGTCATTAAGAGCATATCCGCTGTTGCAACTGCAGGAATAGCCTGTAGAGAAGGCAGTACAATTACTCTCACACATTCCTCTACCACCATTGGCCTCACAATAGTTGGGAGCTGAAATTATAAATAAGAGACAAACACTAAAATTGGTTGGTTTCCCTACTTGTCATTGCGAAGTCCACACAAAATTCTTTTCCCCTTAATTATTTCTCATCACAAAAAAGTGCGGGGGGAGGTGATTTAGGCCTATGGTCACACCACAAAGATATAATGTTCTAGTCTGTAGTAAATGCAGTTTAGACTCTTTGATCAACAGTCACAAGAAATTAGCAGGAATTACTTCAAACAGGGACTTACTATTTCCTAATGAGTCAGTTCTGTATTCCAACAGGGCATGCCAAAGTTTGCATTTGAGGTCATCTGGGCGTGCATATAAGATCTGCCTTAAAGCAGCCCTATATGGACTCAAGCTCGGACTTTGTGAATGAACTTGCTTTTTTGAAATACCAAACTGGCTCAATGTTCTGGCCTAAGATTGTCGTGTGCGCCGTTTCTCTGTCTGCCATTTTGAAAAAGCTTTTGTCTTTTTTTCGTCAGAACCAGACAGAAAATCTTGCAGTTCTCTCACAGCCAAACAAGCTTTTATTACCCTTCTGCAACACAGTTGTACATTACTCATACAAGCCTTGTTAAGTTCAACAATAATAAGGCTTAACAGTAAAATGCTCTTAATTTGTTGCCCAACATATGCAATACAATGTGGTGTGGGTGGAGTTACACCAATGCATGAAGTTTTGTGAAATCAGCTGCAAGTCCTACTGCAAATGGACTTGGACATTTTATCTTCGTCGTATTTAGAAAATAAGATGAAATTAAACCTGTGTAAGAGTAAAGTAGTGAGATTTACTGGTAAAAGGATATCTATTCAGTCAACTTGTAAATTGCATTCTGTTACTCTAGAAATCGTTCGGGGAGTCAAGTGTCTTGAAGTTATATTAAACAGCCATCTAACTTGGTCTGTTCACACACGTTTCATTACATGCCATGCCAACAAGATGCTTATAATAAGTACCTGTATAAAATCACATTCACTAACACGCTAACCAAATTGGCAACCAAAGAAAATGTTCTGACCTTACTCGAATGTTGTGACATACAAATTGCCTAAAGAGGGTTCTTTGTGTCAGAACACCCTCTAGTCTGGACAATGAAAACAAAGTCTCCCTACCATGGCTCAGTTGTCTGGATGGATGCACTGCATGAATCACATGTGGAAAGACGAAAGGCCCACTGATAAAAATCCGGTCCCCTCCTGTGTCTTTGTGGGCACTGACAATAGTGTGCTGATATAAATCCGTCCAATAGATGCGATCATCATACAATGTGAGATCAAACGGGTGAAAATAAAAACGCCGGTTCAGAAGCACAGTCCGGTCTGACCCATCCACGTTGCACGACTCAATGCGGTCAGTCCAAGCATCGGCGAAGTAGAGACGCTGAATGACGAACAAATAAACAAATAAGGGAATCCACAATTCTTGACAGGGTAAGCTGTGCAGTCAGCAAGGGAATTCATCTCACCCAAGGCTCGTTTTGCTAATTTTCTGGACCATTGCAAACTGCACGAACAACCTGCAGTGACAGTTTACTGTTTACATACCATCAGTATTCCTTTTTGACATTTTCTGAGGATACCAACCAAGTTGTTATCTTCTGATCCAAACAAATGCAACGTAATCCAATCAAATCCAATCTTTTATGTAACTTTGGCCAATCAACACAATCCATGTAATCCACATCTTCTCATGTAACCTAGTCTGATCTAATTCCAAAGATGATGATGCCACATGGATGAAGTCATACAATCATTTTCCAGTCTAATCATGCTTCCTATGACCAATCTGATCTCAAATCAATCCTCTTTGAGTCACTGTAATCTGGCAGTATCTGCATTTGAATCTAGTTTACATATACATGTAAACCTAGCCAAATGTAATTTAATTCATCTAATCAAATACAGTCTAATCAAACCAATCTTATCTAATACCCTTCCCAATTCTCCACTTCCTTACATCTGTATCATAATCCATGGTGATTGCATTTGGCTTCAGGAGATTTCTTGAGACAATGACTTGCTGCTGTGTTCCATTGCTCATACGAGCTCTCTGGATGTTAGGTGCCCAGTTGTTCACATTGGTGAAGTACATCACGTCATTACGGGGATCTAGAACAATTCCCCTTGGGTTGCCGGCATTGGTTGCTATGACCACTGAGAGGTCAGTAAATCCATTCAGGTTCAAGCGGCTGATGGTCCCAAATGCTGAAAACATAGCAGAAGTGATGTACAAAAAAACACCTTTTGTTTCACAAACTGATTAAATTCAAGTTTATGATCAGAAAGAGATGCCTTTGCTATAGCATTAGTATCACACTCAGGAATATCACGAACAAATCTGAGTGTGAGTAACTGATCCATTTTGGATTCTTTCATGGCACTGAAAATCTCTCAACTTCAGCACTGAAGATCACTTGCTTTCTAAACCTTACACAGCAAAATGTATAAATAGTCTGTTTCTTGCAGGGGGACGGGCCTCAACAAATATTTTCCAACCCGATTTGTTTTTTTCCTCGTTTCGACTGGTGAATAAGCTCTTTGAAAAGTCATGTGGACCAAAATCAGCGTTTCTTCAGCAAGGGAGGTTATTAGACAAAATATACACAGAAACGATATGTCTGTTACGGTCATGATGAAAATGGTGAAATAGAAGATTAATGTTTAAAGGAAACTTACCCAAATCTGTCCAGTATAACTGATTGTTAACCCAGTCCACTGCTACTCCATCAACTTGGGAATCATCTCCAGTGGACACTACAACTTCCTTATTGCCACCATCCAAGGGAGCCCTGAAAGTGAATTCAAGAATTACTTTGACTAATTAACATTTACTGAACACAGGCTTGCATCAATGATGGCTAACCATCTCCAAAACCTTGGAAATACACATGTATATAGATGTGCATCAAAGCAATTTGTTGAGGGGATGTAAAACAATGCTCCTCGTCCTGAAATGGACTCGCAGCATTGCTTTGAACCAGTAACTTAGCACCAAAATGAACATACCTGAACATAAATGGTAGGTACTTCAGTTTGTTTGTTTGTTTGTTGGGGTGTTGGGGTTGTTTGTTTGTTTGTTTGTTTTTCATTCAGTTCTATAATCCTTCTTTGCAAATTCTGAAACAAGCTTTCTCATAGCACAACTTTAATCTCTTCACATGGGCTCATTAGGATTTTTCCACAGGGTGGGATCATTTTTTCAGAGAGGGGAACTGCACGGGGGAGGAGTGTGTAGCATCTATCAGTGGATATTGGATAAATCATTAACAGTGGAGGGAAATAAGGTTTCCATCCCCTATCATCTCTATCAACTCTTTGGGCTTCCACTTTCCCTCTTCAATTACTTTTTTATGGGGGTACACCCCCTTTCCCCCTCATTCAACCCCTAATCTCATTCGTCATCAATAATACAAAGTACATTTATGTAGATTGAAAATATGCTCCCTAAATTACTTTTGGTTTTAATTTAGTAGACTCATGTTCAATCATTTCCAGAGGAAGTGTGCAGTGGCAAACTCCTTTGTGTCTGCACGGCCTCAAGTTTATAACAGGAATCATATTCCTGCAGGTCCTCAGTCAAAAACAGGTACCTACAAGTTGTTCCAATATGAATACACATACCACAAAAGCACCAGACAACATTACTCAAAACATAAGAGTACTGTCTTTAGTATGCCTTACACAATGTTCATTCCTCACACGTCACATTTTCAGTAGCTGAGGTGTTCTTTGACTGACCCAATGTGGAACCACCTTCTCATTACCACATAATAAACAAAAAAGTCTGACAGTGCTGGATTAAAGACAGCATCAACATTGCCGTTTTCCAGAAACCATTCATTTTTAGTCACAATGCAAAAAGCTCTCAACTTCTCCTCCTCTTTCAAAACATTTTTCTATTCCTTCCACTGTATAAACATAATGGGCTGGCTACATGTCCTTCTTTTGTAAACAAAACAACAAAAAACTTACATGAACAGATGAAAAGAAATGAACACTCTACCTGTAAATCTTCTTGTCATCTTGGTCACTCCAATAGAAAAGGCCTGCCTCATAGTCAAAGTCCAATGCCACAGTGTCATGGGTGTCCTGTTGCAGCACCTTGGAATCAGTCACATCTACATTGAAGCGTACAATGCGGTACTGACTAGAGAAGATCAGGTAAGCCTCAACATCATCTGGTATGTGGTCTGGCATGGTGTGGCCTGGAATGGCTGTGAAGCAGGAACAAGTCAGTCATCACAGTATAATAACTGTTATGTATGGCTAACTACAGCATCTGTCCCAACCATAGATGGACCGGTCTCATACAACTACAGTGCTACAGTTGGGTCGGCCCAACTATGGCATAGGGTGCTAGTGTGTGCCACAGCATGTGCCAAGAAACATGTATTGGAAGAATCTAGTTTTTAATTGTGTCATGGATGAAATGACAGGCTGATATGTTTCTGATAACTCTGTTGGGAGTGAGCTGCAAAAAGACAAGGTTGAGAAAATTTCAAAGAATTTCCCAAACTGTATTTGAGCCTGCCCAAATGTAGTTCTACAGTTTGGACCCTCCTAACTATAGTAAGGACTGATACTTTGCTTGAGGTGAAACAGATTTCACAACTTCACTCCATGCATGGGTTCCACACGCAGCAAACTGGCCAATTACTGACAATTTTTTTCAACAGAAGCACAGCTAGGAATTTTCTCACAGCATGACGTTCTCCCTTTGTAAAGAACTTTACAGTTTTGCAATTATTGACTTTTTTGAGGCCAATAAATGTACATTTTGCATGAAAAGCTAGATAAGGTTCAACACCAACTTTGTACTGACATAACTTGAAAAACCTTCACCGAGCAATACGTATCACATTTATCAGTAGTAATGCACCAGTGAATTGTTTCAAATTAACTGATTTGAATAACTTATAAATAGATACCCCAAACGAGTTTAAACCTCTGAGAAATGTTGAACAGTGCATACAAGAATAGGCTCAATCAATGCAAGTACATGTACAAGGCCACAATAACAGACAAGGACAACCTACAGTGCCTGCAGGCAGGATACAAGCTTTGATAACCTGTATGACCCCTCCACAGAAAAAAATCTACAGCACCTGGTGTTCTACTGTAAACACATCTGCATATGTGCGAGGACGTGTAAAACAACCGAATGGTGCACGCTTGACACTTTCTGTTTTCTTCCTTTATAATATGCAGACATAAGTGAAAGTAGTCAGTAAAATGGCTTTCCTTTCTTTCAGTCTCAGACTCGACACAGACCATTTGAACAACTGTTCATTATTTACTTCCAGTCTATGTTTTAGCGCTAAGCCATCTGACAGGTTTCAGAGTACTTGCTATAGGGAAAATGAAAATACAAAAATCATATCGTCTATTCCTATGACCTGAGCAAACAATGGCACTACAGACTGCTTGGATAATTGACGGACATTTGGACTTGAACTGCCCGTCAAAACAAACTAAAGCTAAAGTCTGCAGCGACTTGATTTCAAGTTAATTGACAGGACAGACTTTTTTTTCAGTGTCCTCATTGATAAACAAATTAAGAATGTCCCTGAGCTAGGCAGTGAACCGCAAAGGATCAGGCACTCATACACAGCCACTTACAGGGGGCCTTGCAAGTGCACAGCCCACATGCCATGCAAACCCAGGCAAGGTCTCACTCTCTGAAGTGTACAGTCCTTGGTCACCTAGTTGTACATTGCAGCCTATTGTGCATTTCATAGCACACGATAAACACTTTTCTCACTGCTTACCACATCCCTTTCCTTTCTCTAGAATCAGCATTGAGTGGTGTTTCTTTTAAAGGGTTGAAGATGTAAGTTTACTTGAAAATAACAATCTGTGTTTGGGAAACTTTGCCCATACACTGGACTAGTATTATGACCTGTGACCAACAAAGCCGTGTTTTTAAATAGGCTGTAATGCGCTCTCGAATGAGTGGACCCCAGAGAGGGTGCAATGAAAATGGAATCAATTATTAAATGATTATTAATCACAGAAGTAAATAAATTTAAAACAGCCTAAAATCCTAAATTAAGGCAAATTTTACAACAGAAACAGCTGTAACATTCAGGTTCATTCCTTGATCCAAACACCTCAATTTTGCTCCTAATCAAGCAAATTTGCAGGGTACCAAATATTCTTAAAATGGAACGACAAAATGTGCAAGAACTGCATAAAAACTCTAAAAACTCTATTGCCTGGGCCCATATAGTCTGTTGCAAGTAGCAAGTCTGTGGTGTAGCACTTTTCTTGCTCCTTTAATTTCTAAAAAATCAAAAAGTGAAGTCTAGATCTGTTTTAAGTTTTGTGTAGTTTGACTCACATCACATGCTGCAGAACCATACACTATTGACCGGATTGTGCATCATGTATCAGGCATCACGACTGAGGGCTGGAAGTCCCACCAGGGGACTCAAACTCTTAATCACAGACGGCTGTTATGTCAGGACCCTTACAGGCTATTTTATGTGCACTTTTTTTTTTTCATTAATACCAGGGGTATTCAAAGAGCAGCTTTCTGTATCTTTAACCCACAGATCACTTAATATTGCTTGAAAACTTAGAAAAATACAAATGTGAATAGTGTGTTGAGCAGCATTGAATGTTATGGTAGCCATCTTTGGAAGCCCCAAAGTTGTGCCACACAGCTTTATGCAATTATACACAGTGATATAAATATGGGCATATGCTCGCCTGACAGCATACTGAGAGAGATCAGTGGCTGTACAAAACCCTCAGTTCAAGTTCTCAATCTGACGTCAATGTTTAAAAGCAACTAAATTAACTTGGAACAAGACTTTCTTGTTTCGGACGGATTTCATGTCACAGTTCTTCGGCACATAAGTGGTGAGTTTGTCACATACACAGATTTTGTAATAGGTATGTATCCACAGTAATCAATAGATACAACAATTATCTAAAACATAGTTAGAAATCTGCATAAGAAACTTGTAGTGCTGCAATTTTCAGAGCAATAGCTTGCCTTGTCTTTCTGGTTTAACAATACCATCACCGTTCCCACTCTTTCCTCCTATCATTGTTGGTTTGGACAGATTGGTTGAACTGTCCACTTATTGAAGTTTAATTTCTGAGGAGACAAAAGTCTTCAGCATCAGAGGTAGAACTTACTGAAAAGGAAGGACATCTTTAAACATAATGTTGATGTCCTTTATTTCAATGCTAACTTTTCAAGTAATTTGGCTTTTTATTCTCTTTTGACAAACATGACGAATTATCACACAAAGGCATCTACACATAAGCTAAAAAGATGTAGAACTTTCTCCTTCAATCCTTTCCCTTTTGACATGTTCCGAAGTAACAATCAGGTCTCCTTTTGATTGTCGGCACAACTATTTTAAAATTTGAAATGAGTGGAGACTCCATTCTCAGCATAGCTAAAGCTTATCTTCCAACATGATAACTTCCATTAAAGAGTTTATTTTCATGGAGGTCTTTGAAAACAGTTTTTTTGCAAACTCTTCGCTTTTCTTGAAGTGACCTGATAAATGTGACTCCATTTCCCTTTACCTTCTTCCATGACTACAAAAACATCTTTAACTTGCAAGAATGCACTAAATCTGAACATCAAAGATTAACTTTTGCAACTAATAAACAAAGTAGTTATCACAAAAACAAATCCCAGAATACATTCTTCACGTTAGACTTGGTCCAGCAAAACAAAATGACAGTCAAGTTTATTTTCCATTCAGGAATTTGCCTGTACTCAGACCCATTTTGGCTGCCCAAGTTATGGCTCAATCATTTGCTTTACATTTTTTCTGAGGACAAAACAAAAATCTGCCCCCAGTATTCTTCAATTAATGCTTTAAACACATTTTTGAATAATTCAGTGCAGCTTCAAAATTATTGTGTTAGAAATCAATTCAAATCTAAGAACAAATATACAGACATAAAGAAACATCAAGAGAATGCACTTTAAACAAAGTTCTGTTACCCTTTTACACACAGGCAGGAGCACTTTCACAAAAAGAAGAAATGTCAAGAAGAATTTTAATAGGCTGTTTCAAGAGGTAATGCAGCATTTAAATGAACATGAAAAGTAATCTGTTGTCATATTAAAGAAAAAAACAATAACAAACCAAAAAACCTAACTTGGCAGGGCATTTTGAAGAAAAGAACAAGTTATGCTGGATAAATCCCACAAAGTTGAGAAGCACTGAAAAAAAGCCACAATCGATGAATCTATGAAGAAATCTTACCCATAAGCAGTACGGTGAGAACAGCAAGAGCCCACATTTCAGCAGACAGGACAACAGACTGAAGTGAGCAAACCAGACCTACAAAACAATTGGTCTGTCTCCACAGGCAGCCTGTGTCGTAATGTGAACAGACTGAGCCAATCCAGGCTGAACTTGCCAACTCACTCTAAACCCATCCAGCGCTGGGTACGAGTAGGCTGTGTGGTGCCTACAGCCTATACCCACTCGGGCGTGACAATTGTTCATTTGGTTGGCAGTGTACATTGCCCTGAGCTAACCACAACCACGAAATACGAGGGGCAAGAATGACGTCAAACACAGCCTCAACAAGAATCAGCATCCATTAACCAAGCTCCACTTCAGACGATTTCATAGTTCTGAAACATTTGAATGTTCACTTTCACACACTCTGCCCAGTGATGCTTGAAATTGTAAGGGCAATGGAATATGTGTAGGGAATGATAAAGCAACTTGTTTACTTCAGCTGGATCATTTTGGAAATCAGTCTGTCGACTTTGAACATCTTACCAAGCAAATACCGACTACTTATCCTCAAATCCTGCTAGACTTGAATATGAAGCTTTAGGAGATATCTGCCTGGTCTGGTGGGAGGGTCTGAAGGCCAATAGAACAGTTCACCTTGTAACTTACTGCTTGGTTGATCATGAGATCATATTCAACCTTGATCAAATACTGTGTTATTATTTATTTCACAGTTTAAATGGCCAGACTGCGTAGTTAAGCCAGTTTCTATTCAACCTGCAGAAATGCTTTGTCACTTGTTTGTACCACTCTGTGCCTGCATGGGTGACAACAACACTAATGCAATCACGAATTTATCCTTGTTGCATTTGGATTTCTTTTGGAAAGGAAATGGGAAACCTTTTCTCAGAAACTAGGGTAGAACTGATCACTATATTACAAAGGGGCATATGATATTTGGTAGCTGGAGTTGATCTAGATTTTGAGACTTCAAATCACAACGTAGGTTCCACAAGAGAAGCGGCAAGATTTTTCCTCACTCCCCTTCTGTGGTGTCTACAAATCACCTGCATGGATGGACAAGCCATGGATGGATTAAGTAACCCACAGGCCCTAGGTACCAGTGTTCTGTGGGCCCTACTCCAGCCCAGGCTAGTGGTGTTATTCTGGTTTTCAGACCAAAGGGCAAAATTGGAGTTTCTTTCTATAAAACCATAGTCTAAATTTTGTTTTCATCCCTAGAGAATCCTTGAACCCACCCCTTTCTATGTCTGTTGGATAATTCAGTCCAGCTAGTAATTTTGAAATGTGCAAATCACAAGTTTACTTAAATTCTCCCTGCATAACCAAACTTTATGCAATAACAGGTTTGATTAACTTGGTCAGGACATTTGCATATGCTAATCTTGCAACCTGTATGTAATTTCCCATCTCACTCTGAGTATAAATGTTAACAGTCTTAAACTTTTTTTTTTCTTTAACAAGTTGAACAAACTCTGTCATTTACATCTACCAAGCAAAGTGAACTCTGTTACCAATGGTGTCTATCCACAGGAGTCTTAATGCCTCATTACACTACATGTAATGCAAATGTCCTGACCATTCAGGCCCCCCAAAATATCTGTTACGAAGTCAGATATTATTTTAGCATGAACATTGATAACTTCAACACAGGGATTAAAAAAAACAGAACTCACAAAGGAAGGACAGCGGAGACAAAGGTTAACTTAATTAAAATTAAATTAATCTTTCGAAAACCAGAAAACGCAACAAAAGTATTCTATTAACAAAGGACAAATTATACAATCAAAAATGCACTCAAATAATCAAAGAGATACTGGTATCCAACTAAAATGTGTGGAGGGGCGTTGTGATGGGAGCCTGGTACAGTCACCGCAGCCAGTTTTGGGTCCCAAGCAGGAGATGGTGGTCATCCAGGCTGACCATCATGGTCTTGATAGACGGTGGTGAGCTCAGGTCTTGGTCTTGAGCGGGCCTCACAGGAATCCAAGCGGGAGCTCAGGGTTGAGGCGACTTGACCTTGGCTTGTCTTGACTGGATTATGGCCCCTTGGGCATGGGCTATACAAAGCGCTGACAATCGGTGGAATGTTGGAGAGTGGCAGCAGATTATAGGCCCCTTGTGGAAAGCAAAGCTCTGCTGCGACATAGACACACCCACATTTATAAGAGAACGTGTCACAATGCTTAACCAAAAAGAATGTTATGAACGCAAGGACTGGAAAATATGCTAATCATCTAAGCCGGATGTAACAGGCAGATTAGAGACCAACATCTTATGTATACTTACATGCACATGCTAACATGCCTAACAACCTTAAAGCAATATGGTACAAAGTACATTTTCAGTTTGTACACTCTGTTCTCAGGTTGCCAGCTGATACACTGTAGAAAGCTCTAAACCCACATTTTTCAGGGTGGAGGAATGAATGGCCGTCGCCACTTCCAGCCCTCCCCTAAAACGGGGCGTAGCGAAGGCGGGGCGGGGGGGTGGTGTCAGAGTCAATTTGCTGACTTGTCAATTGTTTGCCAACCTCTTGTCATGTAAAATGGAAATCCGTGATTTGCTGTATTTCATGCTTCAGGGGAAATGGCCAATGTATACTGTTTATGTACCAATTTTGGATTAATTTGCTAACTGAAGCTCTTTTTGCTGACTGGAACTTAATAATGGGGAGTGCTGCTTCCAACCCCCCTCCCCCAGTCGCTACGCCCAACTCAAAAAAAGTGTACTCTTGGGTGTGGGGGGGGTGTGTACCTTCTAGGATTTGCATCCCTTTCTGGTACATTCATTTTGTGCTTTCATTTAATAAAGGGTTTATTGGTTCGGAAAGGCACATTCAGGTTGAAATCATCAATAAATGTCCAGCCCAAAGTGCCTCTAAACATTACTCAAACTATCCGAACTCCATAATGTGATGGGGAATGTAGAGCCTGATGAAGCAATTAAACCGAAGCATGCAGCCAAACAAACACAATATGCATCTGTACTCTCACAGGAATCCTTTCATACTCCTGGGTATAGAGAGAGTCAAGTGGGGGGGTACAGTAACTTGCCTATAAGGTCACAGCATGTAAGCAACTGCTGATTTTGATACCCCAACCTTTAACTGGGAACCATGTCACAGATTCTAAACCCAGACTTTTAAACTGGGAGCCATGTTACAGATTCTAACTGGTATCTATGATGTCAATCCATTTCAGTCCATCACTGCTTGGAAATAAAAAGCAACACATCTTGCGTTACTAGTCTAATTCCATGGGGTCGATTTCTGCCACTTCATCTGACAGGTGAGGTTGAGCCAGAACGGACCTAGGAAATTCTTGTTGCATCAAAATGGCAATGTGCAAAATTTATCTGTTCTGGAACAGATCCTTGTTAAAAATGCAGAAGAGAGCAACTGTGGCAAATCAGAGCAAACCGTCACTGCTGCTGAAAGTTAATGGGACAGTGAGTTCTCTTGTCCAGTGTATTACCTTCCACCATCATCGTAATGGCTTGATTTGTCTTACAAAGAAACCCACATTACGTGTCATTCTTTAATGTGCTAAACATTACATATGAGATCACTGTGTGGCAACAAAAGATGATAAGATAAAGTGCTTTGTAAAGTCAAAGTCAAAGAAAAATACAAACTGCATCTTTCAGTGAAAATGAAAGTCTTCTAGGAGCAACGATCTACGTGTAACAGGCTAACAGCGACACTGATACACAGAATAAATGGACTTATTTTAATTTAGTCAGCTATTTTGTATTGTTTGGTAATTCCATGAAGTTTCTGGAAATGCTCATCCTTAGCTTCCATTTGCTTGAGCACCATATTCATTAACTAAACACCTAATCACACTGGACCAGTGGCAAAGCTAGGATTTTACTAGTGGGGGGAGGGAACACAAGGAGGGCACCAGCATCTCAGGGGGGGCACCAGCATCTTATGTGGGGGGGGCACCAGCATCTTATGTGGGGGGGGGGCACCAGCATCTTATGGGGAAGCACCAGATTTCAGTGGTGTGTTTTATTTGTCAGCCTTGTTTAATATCCATTCATCCATTTTTTTTGGGGGGGGGGAAACCAGGGACATGCTCCCCTCCCCGGCTATGCTCCTGCACTGGACCTAGGAGTGTTTCATCAGAGAAAAATGAACAATCCAAAGAGAGAACAAATTCACTGTCATCAAATTTGGATAAACTGAGAATATTATTTGATAACTGAACTTGAATACTCATTCATTTGTGTGAAAAAAAGGGGTTAGATTTTCATATTTTGCTATTAAAGGTTTCCATTTTCCTTGCCCATTATTGTTGTTAATGTGCATGGCAATGAGCCAGTGAACAACCTATTCTCAGAAATGTTTTCATACAGCAACTTTGGGGTTCAAAATGTGAACATGAAAACATGTAAACTGAACAATGTCTGTCTGGATTTACATCACACTAACAGCGCCTTCATTTGAATGAACTGTGCATTCCTGTGATTTGTAGATAGAATACAACTGTCTTTATGATGTATTTACAGTGGAGTAATAACGGAATATGTTAATTTCTAATCTAGTATTTAACTAAGAACCTTTGGGTTATTGTTAAAAAGTGGGAAAAATAACTGTACATTGTAGGACTTCTTATACTGACATATTCCTTGATTTAGAGTAATGCCAGCGCAGACCAATGACAGAGGTGACCCTTATCACGTGACCTCACTTCTTGAACAACTTCACTCGATGTGATTACATTGCATTACATACGTTATGAATTCTAGATCAGAGTTTTAATGAGTACCTTGCTGGTATGTTGAAAAGAGTGATAATATGTATGATAATATGTATGTATAGAAAGCACAACAATCAGTTACATAACACATGGGGTTAAACCTAGTGGGGTGGCTTGGGAGAACCCGAGGCATTTCAAGGGGACAACGAAGCCAAATGAAGTGAAACCTATGTATGTTTTTGTTTCTAAGATTGCATCAAAGTTCCAAAAGTCAGGTCTACCTGAATCATATGTGGGAGGATGTAGAACTTGCAGCCACACATTGTCATTGTTTTTATGACTGCAATGCAAGCGCTCAGTGTGGACACTTCACAAAAAACGTGTCGAAAACAGATGTGGTGTCAGGAATCATTTGAAGCAAGATATGGGACGGGTAGAACTCCCCGCCTTTGTGTTGGTCATTGTTTGATTGGAATCTCAGGAATTCTACTTCTAGGTGGATGAGTTAGGTAACAATAGTCTAGAGTGTGTATAGGGATTGGACAGGTAAGGGCGTACCTTTCTGTCCCATATCTTGCCTGGTATATCAGGAATTGGCATCTGCCACTGCTCACAGCATACTGTGAACTTTTCATAATAAACTTGATATTTTTGCACCAACACACAGTCATGTTGCAGATAAACCTTTCAGATTTTCCACAAATTTATTCCATCCATTTACTTGTGGGTTTAAGAAGAACTGCACCTGGCAACTTTTTAAAAAGGGAGAAATTCATTTAGTAAAACCACACTTACATAAATCTGTAAATTCTGTGAAAACAGAGCAAACTCATCAAGAACCACCAAGTGTCAATTTTAGGTGTCAGCAAAAACATAACACATTCACTGGAAGGTCAGCCTAGGCAAAACAGC